GAGTCGTGTAGTCAGCTGATGTGTAAATGATGTTGAGTCGTGTAGTCAGCTGATGTGTAAATGATGTTGAGTCGTGTAGTCAGCTGATGTGTAAATGATGTTGAGTCGTGTAGTCAGCTGATGTGTAAATGATGTTGAGTCGTGTAGTCAGCTGATGTGTAAATGATGTTGAGTCATGTAGTCAGCTGATGTGTAAATGATGTTGAGTCGTGTAGTCAGCTGATGTGTAAATGATGTTCGTGTAGTCAGTGATGTGTAAATGATGTCAGCTCATGTAGTCAGCTGATGTGTAAATGATGTTGAGTCATGTAGTCAGCTGATGTGTAAATGATGTTGAGTCGTGTAGTCAGCTGATGTGTAAATGATGTTGAGTCATGTAGTCAGCTGATGTGTAAATGATGTTGAGTCATGTAGTCAGCTGATGTGTAAATGATGTTGAGTCATGTAGTCAGCTGATGTGTAAATGATGTTGAGTCATGTAGTCAGCTGATGTGTAAATGATGTTGAGTCATGTAGTCAGCTGATGTGTAAATGATGTTGAGATGTTGAGTCATGTAGTCAGCTGATGTGTAAATGATGTTGAGTCATGTAGTCAGCTGATGTGTAAATGATGTTGAGTCATGTAGTCAGCTGATGTGTAAATGATGTTGAGTCATGTAGTCAGCTGATGTGTAAATGATGTTGAGTCGTGTAGTCAGCTGATGTGTAAATGATGTTGAGTCATGTAGTCAGCTGATGTGTAAATGATGTTGAGTCATGTAGTCAGCTGATGTGTAAATGATGTTGAGTCATGTAGTCAGCTGATGTGTAAATGATGTTGAGTCGTGTAGTCAGCTGATGTGTAAATGATGTTGAGTCATGATAGTGTTGAGTCATGTAGTGATGTGTAAATGATGTTGAGTCATGTAGTCAGCTGATGTGTAAATGATGTTGAGTCATGTAGTCAGCTGATGTGTAAATGATGTTGAGTCGTGTAGTCAGCTGATGTGTAAAAATGATGTTGAGTCATGTAGTCAGCTGATGTGTAAATGATGTTGTGTCAAGTAGTCAGGTGATGTGTAAATGATGTTGAGTCGTGTAGTCAGCTGATGTGTAAATGATGTTGAGTCGTGTAGTCAGCTGATGTGTAAATGATGTTGAGTCATGTAGTCAGCTGATGTGTAAATGATGTTGAGTCATGTAGTCAGCTGATGTGTAAATGATGTTGAGTCGTGTAGTCAGGTGATGTGTAAATGATGTTGAGTCATGTAGTCAGGTGATGTGTAAATGATGTTGAGTTGTGTAGTTAGCTGGTGTGTAAATGATGTTGAGTCATCCGTCAGTCTGATGTGTAAATGATGTTGAGTTGTCTAGTCAGCTGTTGAGAGTCAGTAAATGGTGTTCCCATGAGTTCTATTACAGACAGGGGTGGTGGGGTAGCCTAATGGTTAAAGCGTTGGCTCGTCACGCCGAAGACCCGGGTTCAGAATCCCCACATGGGTACAATGTGTGAAGCCCATTTCTGGTGTCCCCGCCGTGATGTTGCTGGAATATTGCTAAAAAGCGGCGTAAAACCAAACTCACTCACTCTATTTACAGGCGAACTATTCATGTTGTCGTTAGAGTGAGACGGGGATTTAGTTTGTTCTATTAGTGGAGAGAGATCTTGGGACTGTTTCATGATTTACCCACCCCAGTTTCTGTACAGTTATTTTACACCCTCATCCCTGAATAGATGTGATATTTGTTCATGTCCCATATAAATAATAATCAAATAATAATCAAATGTACACATAAATAAGCTTTTATATTGTAATGACTTCTACACACTAAATCTCACTCTCATCCAAACAATAAATAACCAGTCCCTTAGCTGATTTGTGTTTGATTACGGCCATGTATTTCAGATTTTTGTTCAGTTCCTTAGCTCAAGGAAGTTTTATTTACTTGATGTTTTGAAAGATTCCGTCACACATGTCTGGAGATGCGTGTATAAGAATCATGAAGAGGATACAATGTATCAATTTCTTCAAGTTGCTTCTACTCATGTTTTTATCTCCGTTTTCCTTGCGCGACCTATCCAATACAAATATCCCTTTGTTCGTAACATGAATGATGATGCATGCAACTATTGAACCCTTTAAATTGTAAATAATCTATTAAAGAACGGCTGTGGTTCCTTCATGCGTTCTCTCGCTGCTTTAAAGAGTACTAAAATGAAATTATTATTGATCAAGAAAATTGTTCACACGCAATACAAAGGTAAAATGCAAGAGGGTTTGCAGTGAGGCAAATGTGCCATTTGTCGAGATGTTTTAAATTTGAAACGTTTTCACCTTTGCACTTAAGATCGTCTTCAAAATTCCCATTTCCTCATACTCTTAATGGGGCGGTGGGGTAGTCCAGTGGTTAAAGCGTTCGCTCGTCACGCCGAAGACCTGGTTCGATTCCCCACATGGGTACAATGTGTGAAGCCCTTTTCTGGTGTGCATTTTCGCTCTGTAGTCATTTCGTCCTCTGAAATTTTCAGACAGGAGATTGATCTTTGGCAAGGACGCTTTTACCTACGAGGACAAAATAATTATATTCAAATATTTACCAATTAAAAAATAAGATCTAGGATGTTTAAGATGAGATTTAGTGTAAAGTGAATACAATTGATGTTTTCAAACAATGTAATACAGTTGTACTATTTTTGCAGGCTTAGAATCATCATGGCAATATAATTGTCATTTACGTTACTGCTTTTGTCCTCAACAGTCATATGGAAAATATTTGAATAGCAACGTTGGCAACCGATTTCTTTAGTGTCTGTTTTTGCTGACATACACAGTTGTCTCCTTACATCCACTATCCATTTGTCCATGCGTACACGGATCAGTTCTTTGTATTTAGTGAGCAGCTGGAACTCGAAGATACCATGTCAGATAAAAACGGACATTTTTTCCATCCGACTAAATTAACTCTTTCACCAAGGAATTCAGTTTCACTCCTACACTGGACTGTATATGTGTTGGTTAGGTTGGGTTTCGTCTTCTGATGGTTATTCTCGACAGAATCTAATTTAATACCTTCATTTTCTGCACAGTGTACATGTTGAAACACACTTTGAACACACTGCAGTTTATCTTCTGTTGTTGTTGAAAAGTATGTTTAACCATTGAGCCATGTCTGATAAGCTATAGACAACTTAAGCCATCTCTGAGCGAGGCCTAAGGCCTACGCTCTCGCATAGGAAAAAGTCATAACATAGATTACATGTGCATGTAGTATAAACGGAAGCAGTGTCAATATCGATCATATTTATGTCAGTCAGCGCTTAGGTTCGTCAACGGAATTGTAACAACCTAAGACACTGTTATCGTTCATTATTTATTATTCACTTGGGACTCTAAAGGTGTGTTGTTTTCCTCATGGGCAATGGAAATATTGATTAATCATTAAAGATTTAAGACTATTTAAGGTTAAGGCTCTGGCAAAAGCTACCCTCCAACAATTGAAACTTCTGTGCGTTTAATTACTTGTAACAACATAAATTATCTAAAACCATTAACTACATTCCTCTCCACTGTATTAAAACTAAGAAGTAAACCCACCACTACAACTAATTGACCCTGTATTTCAATCGTTATCCTATATCCAGCATGTATGTATTCTTTATATTTGCACTATGTTGTATTATGGGCCAATGGCCTACATTACTGAAATAAAATGTCTGTCTGTCTGTCTGGCAAAAGCTACCTGTATGAGTATATAAGCACTTCAATTTGAAGAGATCCATAGAGCGAGTCTTTCCACGTTGTTTTGTGGTAAACGCTTAAGGATGAAGGTGAGATGATTTCACACGCGGGCGTTGAGCTATGTTGATGCAAAATGCTTCCCAAAGTGCCACACTTCTTTCAGGATATTATCATATGGACCTGCATGAAGCAATGTACTTTGGAAACGGAGGTTACGAGAGATTCTTTTTACGTCACTTTGTAATCACTTACGTAATAAGGTTTCAATGGATGGTGGGACAAAAAGCAATGCGATGACTGATGACGTCACCGGTACCATATCAGCTCACACTTGAATTCACCTATAATATATTGAACCCATCCATTCATTGATTACACAATGCCATTTTAGAAAGTGGTCAAATGTAACATATATTATATTTGGGATTACTCTTTCTTTGTAAAGTACAAATTCTAGTACTTTTGGGGGGTTAAGTCCCCATCCGGGATTCGAACCCGCACCATCCATTCAACATGAATTTGTCTTACTCAGGCTCTGACATTTTGTAATTGTGAGGGCCATTCGCATCTATCGTACACTGTTTTGACTATTTTCTACGTATACAGTCAGACCTCGTTAATACGAACACTTTGGGTTTTTTAAAAAAAACGTTCGGATAGTGAAAAGTTCGTACTGCTGAAACCACAGTATATGCACCGAGTTACTTCCCCTTGATACAACTACAACTTAAATAAAATTATTTTTGAATGAAAATGCTAGCTTACATTTATAACGTCCAGATAAACCACGAAAGAAGCAAAAACTATGGCGATTTTTTTCCATTTGTGACATGTCATAACATGCCCGTGCATTTTTCGTTTATATTTTCATTTTTACGTGATCAGAAAATTATTATAAAAAGATTTCTTAAATAATATGTATGGTTGCCTATTTCCCGATATCAGTGGCTTTCCGCTCGGTAACATGACACAACAACGGAAAATACCTCCGTTTTCGAAGCTTCGTATGAAAAACATGGGAGGCGAATCGTTTGATGTCGGGTATCGTTCGAAAGCTCTGAACATCAACAACATAACTGTACCCTTGCCGAGAGTATTTTCACAGTTGTAAGAAGCGATTTTATTGGATAAAGATTGGTTTCTAATGACGCTTTTTCGCCACAGTCTGCTATAAGGGTCGTGATTGGTATATACTTTTCCAGGTTTGGTGATTTTACGCTCGTGCAGTTATTACACTCGCGTAACCCACGGGTATGGACATTGAGTTATCGTTCTTGTTTCATTTACCCAGAAGTCCCGATTACATATGTCTGCGCCCATGGAAGAAATGCTTCTTTTATGCGCTATCTGAGTATAACCAGTCTCAGTTATGTAAAAAGAAGTAAACGAACGTCACCAGTACTTTAGCAAATATGGCATCTTTATGGAGACAGTTCTCTAAGCTTAGCTCAGTCGCGAACGTTTATGCGAAGGCATGTCTTCAGCAGAGCAAGGTGTTGGCAAACCGGCCAATATTTGGATCTTTTGAACTACATCGGGTCATGGCTGTTTCATCTGCTGTTAGTCAGTCCAAATGTGCGTCATCCAGCTCTCGTCAGACTACAGAGTACACCCCACCGTCGCCGTACAGAAACCCGGGACCGAGAAGATACGGATATGTTCCCAAAATGTTTGCAGGAGGTGAGATTTCATTTGGCTTAATCATGTTAATCTGGGTCTGTATTAGAATTGATCTTCAGTAAGTTTAACCCTTGCTTTTCGTAAGAGGCGACTAACGGGATCGGGTGGTCAGGCTCACTGGCTTGGTTGACACATGTCATCGGGTCCCAATTGCGCAGATCGATGCTCATGCTGTTGATCACTGGATTGTCTGATCCAGACGGTGTAAAACTAAACTCCACTCCACTTACTCACTCACTTTTGCGCGCTCCCGGTATCAGGGGTTTTCGACGATGTAAGACAAAAATGTAATTGCATTTATACTTTTATTTTACTAACCTTGAGTGATGAAGGATAAATTCATCTATTTCACACAAAAATATCAAGTGTTTCATACGACAAAGATTGCATTGATGACATCGTATCGGCGAAACTGTTGCCACTTTCCACATTTGGGGATTTTGTACGGGTTTTCGACGATGAGCCATACTTTTCGCTCAGCACTGCGAGGGAGTATTGTGATCACAAGGCTTCCTATTTATATATTGCCTGTCACAAGCAGATGACTGATCTTATTGAATTTTCGCTTGCTATTTTTTTGTTATAAAGGCAACTGATTTTGCATCTGAAGTGGTATTCTCGGGTAAATAATATTGATGTTTGTTTGCTTTTATGTAACTTATCTTCCGGATTTCCATTGTCATTAAAACTTCTCATGACATCTGCCCTACCGATGAAACTGCTTGTGCACTCCGATTGCGCAAGTACTCCCAAGTTACAGCGCAAGCAGTGCAATAGTCGAAATCACCAGAATGTCGAACTCAGTTCGCTTAGTGATATGTTAAATGTTTACCTTGGCACTGAATTCCTCAAAATGCATCATTTTGTGCTCCGTAAATAATCCCTCGGGAACAGCATTAGACTGACATTTAGTTCCAGAAATAAACATAACTGTTTTAATAATACATGTGTGTATATCTGCAAGAGACAAAAAAGAAATCCTGGAGCTGAGATGAATTCTGTGTTTCAGGGCAATCGTTCTAAACAACCTGGACTAATCTTTTTATTTTCTCTTGGGTCTCAGAGATAGACTAAAACTGGATCCGTGTAGCTGTATTCAGCAACGATCATGATAATAATATCCAATTTGCACAAGAAGTGTTATTCTGATGTTCAGTATGGCTACCTTGGGAGCCATATTGTTAAAGCAAGATATTGGCATTGTCTCGATATCCAGGTGAGCTACAGTGCCCTGACACTACTCTTACATACATACAAAGACACTCTTATGTATATGCATATAAACAAATAAAATCATGGTGGTATATAATTGTCCATGAGATATATTCCGAATGTAATCATGGTAATATTAATAGGTGGATATGAACACCCTCATTCAATAAACACTCCCAAAGGAAGTTTATTCTGAATCATTGAATCAGTTCTGTTATGTCAGTCATCTTATTTCTGAGTACCGGTCATTAACATATATATTTTTTTTGTTACAGGCGTACTGCCACGGTATGGAAGGAGACCTCTGCCAATACCAACATACAAACAACCTGACAATTGGAGTAAGAAGAAAGCATTGTTTGGACAAAATGACTACATTGGTGAGACTGATAGAGAACTTTATCCAAGCACATGTACCACTGGACATCACAGATCAACAAAAGTAGATGATAGGAGCAGAGTTCAAACATTGAAATTTTCATGATTTTGGATGCTGAGATGATGAAGTGTCGCCAACAAGCAAAACAATATCTAATTGCACTTCTTCAATTCAGACGAAACATTTGCAGCAAAGATATTTTCTTTAGTATATTTGTACGAATTCACAACTTGAATATAGTATTTACCACTGTTTACATGTGTATATTTACAAATGAAACTGCTATCACCCCTAAGTTTATAATAGAATTCTAAATCTGCAGTCTTAGTGTTTTGGGCTGCCAATTAGTTATCCAGTTCAATGGCAGGACTACTCACATAATTCTCCGGACACATTTCAGGCCAGGGCTTCCAACTAATTTGGTGATGCGTAAATTTATGATTTACAGTATTCATTATGTAACATCCTTATTAAGGGTTGGTGTATCAGGTTGAGTGTGCAGGCGGTTTTTCCAATATCCTTATAAAATAATGATATGAATGCGAAATGAAGCAAGAGATTTGTGCAGTTTGTGTCTATATTTAATTACGATGGATGTGAAAATGATGTTTTTTAAACTTCATTAGACTGTCAAGGAATGGAAAGCACACAATAATTTTGGCCGTTTCCTATGATTCTGCTTCCAGATATTCTTGGGAGTGGGAATGTTCACCCTGTGGATCTGATGCGAGGTCCTGAATGGCTTATTGGCTTCAATGGCAATGAACTTCAGCGACTGCTGCGGCGGATGCGTTTCCAAGGCAACAAGCTGAAGACATTATACCCTACCAAGTACTTTCAGACACGGAAGAGAATCAACTTCCTCTATAAAAAGTATAACAATCATCGAATCTCAAAAAATAGATAATCCAATTATTCATTAGAAATCTTGTATGCTGTTTTTGAAATCGGACTTAAGTGAAGCTTTGTGACCATCCTTACCAATTCTTACATTGTTAAATAAGAAAACAATTAGGTATGGTTGATCTCTGTCATGTGTTCATTAGTTCCACAGAATGAAAAGCATGAGGGAATAGTTGTATACTTTCATAGATGTTACATTTAGCGTCCAAGGTGTTGATTAGTTGGATATGTATGAGGGCTACAACCAATCCACTATGAGCAGAATATGATACATATCACAAATATTGGGCGGTGGGGTAGCCTAGTGGTTAAAGCGTTGGCTCGTCACGCCGAAGACCCGGGTTCGAATCCCCACATGGGTACAATGTGTGAAGCCCATTTCTGGTGTCCCCCGCCGTGATGTTGCTGGAATATTGCTAAAAGCGGCGTAAAACCATACTCGGTCAGTCAGTCAGTATCACAAATATTGGTGAGTGAATATGAAAACTAGGTAAAAATACAATTACAAGTCAGTAGTTGATTATTCTTCATGTTCAGTAAAAAAAATAATTATTTTTTTTATTTTGACCATGTTGACACTTTTAATTTATTATGACAATGTCCATGGACATTTCTGTCAAATTATCAATGATTGTACATTAAAAAAGATATTTAAAAAAGAATTATTGATAATTATGCTGCATGGCTTGGATATATTCTGCATATCTTGCTTTGTTAATGACACTGAAAACTTGATTCTAGTGATTTCAAATACAATGATTGTGAATAATTGAATTCATGAAGGGATATGGATCAATTCACCAAATTGTAACAGCCCTAATATGAAGACTGGTGTTCTCAGCCTGTGCTAGTCAATTTCTTCAAGCTGTACATATGCCAACATGTAAATTTCAGGTATTGTAAGAAGTGAAGATGTAATTCTGGTAAACGTGAACAAAGTGTGTGAAGTGTTGACTGAGAAGTGTGAATAAAGAAATTCAAAACAATCTGGTTACTTTGGTCTTTTGGAGTGGAAGGTTGGTGCTCATGCTTTGTGTCCTCTCCTTCCCTCACATCCATACACAGATGAGGTGGTGGGATAACCTAGTGGTTAAAGCGTCCGCTCATCATGCCGAAGACGCGAGTTCGATTCCCCACATTGGTACAATGTATGAAGCCCATTTCTGGTGTCCCCTGCCGTGATATTGCTGGAATATTGCTAAAAGCAGCTTAAAACCATACGTACTCACTCCATACACAGATACATGCGAGTTTGTGCGTATATATTGTACAGTTATCTTGAGAGTTAAACAACTGTTGGAAAATCCAGGTGGAATATTTTGATTGTCACCCCAGGTGCTAATGTAACGAACTGATGGCTTCCTTGCCATCTTACTGGTGGGTAGGCAGGCCATTGTGTTGAGGAATGGGTACAGTGTCGATGATTGGTCTATGATGTGTAGACAAAAATGGTCTCCAGGACCAATATGTCATAAAAAGAATACTGAATCGGACCAAATTTGATAAAATGTCTGCTATCACTGACAGACTGACTGAGTTTAGTTTTATGCTGCTTTTAGCAATATTCCAGCAATATCACAGCGGGGGACACCAGAAATGGGCCTCACACATTGTGCCCATGTGGGGAATTGAACCCGGGTCTTCGGCGTGACGAGCCAACGCTTTAACCACTAGGCTACCCCACCGCCCCTGTTTTCTATCAAACAAAATAGAATTCAGTGTATTTCACTGGTCCACAAAGACAGCTGAGGGATCTTAGGCATGTACTTGTGTGAAATATCAAACCTAGGACTTCAGGCCAAAATGTCACTCACATCATGTGACATGGAATCCATTAACCACATGCTGACCCAAGATGTCCATCACTGATGACATCCTCACCATCACTCACAAACAACTAAAACATGTACAATTTTAACTGCAAACAGTTTATTACAAATAAAAAGATATCATAAATCGGAAATAATTTCAAAAGTAAACAACAGCTTATACCATGATACCGTAACAGACGTACATTGAAAGAGAATGCCAATGTATCAGTGACATAAGGAGCCTCACATGGTGTTGTCAATGAGAAGTGTGGAAGTAAATTTAATGATTTCACTTGCTTCGCGTTAATTCAACAAATTGTCTTAATGTTAGAATAAACACAACTGTATTGAAAAAATAATTAATAACTTATTAGACCATGATGAATGAAACAGCTCATATGACTCTGGCATGGAGCTTTGATAAAGATGAAAGGAGCTTAAAAATTGTTCGTAAAATTCAATTTTGTAATATATCTAAAGGACATTTCACAACATGTAAAACTACTATCAAAACTATGCAAAACACTCCTGAATAGCAATGGTGATTGAATTATACCAGGCAGAAGGATGTGCATAAATCGGGTTCAATATGGCTGTGCTGTGTTACCATGGCAACATTTTTAGGGAAAAAATATGGTTTTATCACAAGGGTTACAAGAATAGGAAGTGACCACTGATTTCGTCAAAATGACCTCGAACAAATACCTGATAACATATGGCTTCAGAGATCAATGCAATGGCAATGACATTTGACAATGACCTTGACATTACACTGACCCTTGACATTACAGTGATGTCATAACTCACATGGACCTATCACAAGTACAATGACCCTCCAGTTGATTTAACAGATATACATCAACTGTGAAACATGTTCAGTGTAACAAGGAATCAATGGTAGTTTCATCTTGAATGGATTGTGCTAGATTTGTTTCAAAGACAAACAGTGTGGCTATATTGCACAATAAAAATAGAATTGAAGAATTGACAAATATGTACAATGACAAGCGCTAGCACGGCTGCGGTGCCTGTGATCCCATGCAGTTCAACATTGGTGAGCATGTATTACAAAAATCTACAATGTCTGTAAGACACAAGCTTCACCACTGTCCAAATATAACTTGAAAATGCAAACCTATTTTGCAAAATCAAAATGCAGTAAAGCTCAATATTTCAATTCATTGACTTGCTTGTAATTTGTAATCATTTCATTTAAAACCAAACGCACACAAAAATAAATATCCCTCATTTACCTCCCAGTAGAAAACTTGAACAAAAATAGAAAAAAAACCTTAATTGGGTAGCACCATGCATAATCAAATGCTAAAAAGCATTAACCTGAAAACCCCCCAAACTAACTGATCACAGACGATTACTTGTATCTGTTGTAATTTGAATAGTATAACAGAGAAAGTATACTAACCGTATGTACCTCTAGTAATCACATAGTCAACAGGCACAAGCTGACACTGCAAATGAATGACTTGCTTACAATCAGCGCATGGCTACTAATAATTAGTAATGTAATCACATGTCATGGGATAAAGGGAAGCTATACCATACTGACAGTGCCTCTGAAGCCCTATTTACAGGATAAGTAAACAACAGTTACAGGCAAACAATATATAATGTCAAATACAACCATATACAATTTCTTGCAGCTAACAATCAACACTAAAATAGTTTTACATAACACAGTAACTTGGGGCAGTAGATACGCTGGATGGTTTGGACTTCTGGTACATTGGACAGGATTTCATGTATTATCAGTGATCGGTCCTGAACTCGATAGAGAGACAAGGATTCCTCCTTAAAAGTCATTACAAATGCAATTTTTTCATAAAGAAAAAAACAAGCTTTTACAAGAATCCGACACGTGTAATCCAATGAAAGTAGAGGGGTTAAATATATTGGTCAGTGAATACCTTTTCTATTGTGAATTGTATTTAATGCTGTTTCCTGCTATATATCACAGCATTGCAATCTGATGTTGGAGGAAAGCCTAAAGTGACACAGGTCTTTGATGTTTACCAATTCAGGGAAACCCACAAGCACAGGTATGGTGGCAAAAAACCTGGAAACATTATCAAGGTGAACATGGACTTGAACCAACAGGGGGAGGTTTGCCTAGGAGTAAACATTTTAGACAATCATTTATATCAGTTCACTGGACAATTTAAACATATTATGGATTGGTGAAGTGAACAATGGCTTAAAACCAGAGATTTCCATTCCGTTTAGATTGCCTGTTTTTCCTTAGGGTCATACCTTTTACAGATCTCAACAGTCGAAAGGGTACCTATCAAATTGCCCATTAATTATTAACAAAACTGATTTAGTTTCATGGAGGTTTCAACTGATTCTGTTGTTTACAGAATGACTGTATGTACAGATATAATATGCATAAACCTTTGTCAGTTTTCTAAGCCCAAGAGCACTTATTATGATGAATACAGTACTAGAAAATACCTGAGTATGTTTATCAATATAAAGTTTCATGTTGCTGAGAAACTATACAATCTTAATAATTTGTTGAAGTGTGCCCCAGATGTTTGAGATAACATGTGCTAGCTGGGTTTCCGAAGTTTAATTTTGATAAAAATTAATGACTCAAATACCACCAGTATGTGTATACCAAGACCATCCATATTATTCACAAGTAATTATATATCAGTAGGATACAGATAACTACAAATTATGAATTAAAGTATATTTGGTCAAAGATTACAAGTTTATAGAAATCATATACTAGATATACCACTGAATGTCAATGTTGTTTAGCGTACTGATGTAAAATGTTTGATAATTCTAAAGTATTTAAAGTCCTTGATCTGCACCATGAGACCACCAGATTCTACTTCGGTTAACTGAAAACTAAAAGCACAACTAGATCATAACATAAATACATATCACAGTAAACAATAGTGTCATCAATAAATAAAACATTTCACAAAGGCATCAATAGGGGTGCACAATGTTGAAAACAAAACCAAAAAACCCAAATGATACGAATAAACAATGTTGATTGACATGCATGCTCCAAACTTAGGACCCTGGGAAGAACTAAGTACAGTATGATCGCACAAACACCCTGCTGAGGCTCAGCGAGCAAGACAGAGCATCACTTCCTGCTTTGTGGTTGTCCAGAATGAGGCTACTGCAGGAAGTAGATGGCGCCTGTGAAAGTGTGTTGAGATGACAGTGGAAGCTGATGAGGCATTCATACAGGGACGTATCAAACTGACAAAATACTAAATACCATTGGTGAAGGACAAATGTCTGTTCCTTATCCTGTCACTACACACCTTCAACTATTTTGACTTCCTTTTTCAAACAATAATCATTTAACAAGCCAACACTCGAGAGGGAGCATTATCGGTACAGTAACGAGCTTCAGTGCTAGAAAGACATGTTAAACTGAAGGACAAGTGGCTATTTGTCCTGAACTTGCATGGAAAGTTAACAAGAGCACTAAAAGGGACACGATGTTGGAGCAATCTGCGTCAAAACCATTAATCTTGCATTATAATCGAAAGAAAGACCTTACCAACAATAAAGTAAATATGTCTTAAACTACCAAGGAGGAATGTCACGGGCATTTTGAACTTGTCTTAGAAGAAGAAACTTTTGTGTGTACAAGTGTTAAAATATTGTATTGGAATAGCTTGATAGATCTATGGTGATACCATTGACAAAATTCCACCATTCAGTATATTAAATAACGGACAAAAAATATGATCTTTTGAGGCCTAACCTACAGTATGAGTGCACACACAGGACCCAGTGTCAGTTAATCTGAAAACATGCTTTGAATAACAGCCTTACTATATTTGTTCAATTAAATCAAAGTAAAGATTCAATGTTCTCCATACATCACTAAACACAACAAGGGGGACTTGATTAACATTTAATTCAACATTCAAATGATGAAGATGGGAAAAAAAATTCTCCAAATATAAAAATCTAGATTTAAGAAAACAAGAAATTCTTTCCTCCATACAATGGCAATCTTTGAAGCTGAGCACTTATTCTTAATGCTGGTGACTCACCACAATGAACACTCATCTCACTGTCATAAGGCTCTTGTATTAGACATTCAGTAACAGGCAGACATAATTTCTACCAACAGAAAATGCTGCATAAACAAGTGTTCATTTGTTCATTGGTAAAAATAGCTTGAAAACTATTTCTCTCATAAAATGAATTCATGTCAAATGGGTATTGATTAGAATCAAACAAAAACTATGAATTCAATAATGACTGCATTTATGGTAATTTTATAAATGAAGGAAAACCTCGGCTCAAGCCTTCAGACTGGAGAGGTTTTTTTCAGGATTTTCATGTTGGGCGGTACTCACGCTGACTGATTCAACATGATACAGTACTTCCTCTCTGCCCAGTCTCTCAGTACTTCCTGTTGTCTCAGTCTAACTAAAGGCAGCTGATGAGCCCATGGGCAAAGAGCCAGACACTGTGCTTCTTTAATGAATTCATACGACTTAAACATTTAATCATTGTACAAAACAAATGCAATGGAAACTAATGGAAAATATAACTGAATTTCTAATCCAAATATTATGTTTGCTTTATAAAAAAGCTTTAAAAGCTCAGAAGTAACAGTTGGTATTTTCTTTACATAACATGATCAAGATATATTTTGTGGCCATATACTTTGTGTGGGCTTCTAATATCTGTGTGCAAAGTTGACTTAAAAATATAAATATTTCAACATGCATATTTCTTGCATTAACTAGAAAGCTGGATTAAATCTGAATAATTTCAAAGTCTGACAACAACTGGCTGTACAGTTTAGTCACAAACATAACGAGTCTGTTGCTAGGATATTAACAGTTAAGTAACATGCAGGAACATTCTTAATACCTAGGGACTGATGTCATCAACAAGTGGAGAAATGAAAGACCAGTTTAACAGCGTAAGTAGGACATGGGGAATTATCACAGAAATAGGAAACAGACAATGCTGACCAAGCAACATCGCAGTTCGTCGGTGAGCCATCAACAGCTGACTCAACGTGAGCGTGTTATCAGCTTTATGTTCAACCAAAATGTCTTCAGTTACAATCAGAGAACTGGTTTAGACCTTGGTTCGAACCAGAAAAAGTTCAAGTTTGAACAATGGCCACCGCCTCCTGTTTGTCTCAAGGTGTAACTCTTCTCGATTACCTCACAGCGAGGTGGGGGTTGATTATATCCACCAACAAATGTTAGAATGAACCATTATCAACCATTTGACCTTGACGTTTAACTTATGTTGGCTAGGAACACTGCTTCAGGTAATAACATAACATGAAACATTTCCAGATTATAACTAGTGGTTAGGAAAGTAATGTCGATAACCACAAAGATGACAAAGACTGACAAGTGTTGTGCAATAGATCATAAACCAAAGGATAAGGTAAAATCATGGCATTTTGGGCTCACAGGATCTACAAAATTTGAGAGATTAGCAAAGCATTTAGGAATCATTTTGAAACTTTTCACATCTCAGATGAATGAACAATAACCTTACTCATACATGTGTCAGATTTATAACTTGACTCCCTCAATGGGTAGAGAGAAGAATTATGAAAAGGAGATTAACTTAACAACATGTTATAGGTTTTTCCCATATTTGATCTTAAGCAAGTCACTGATAGTAGCTGACTTTCTTTGGAACTTGTACAGACAGCACAAACATGTGTCAAAAGAAATCATCTTGGGATATGGACTAGGTCATGGTTGTTTTGTCTTGAAGAAAAACTATTCAGCGACACTAAGCCATACTTACATTCTTGATCATATATGATCATCAGAACTACTAGTTTGAGTATTTAAAACATTTCTAGAACGGTACAATTTCCCTTTTCCTGTAAGCCGTAAGTAACGTGATTCTACATCATCCATCAGATCCAGGACTAAATAAGCACAACACAACACGAGATATGTCCTCGTATCTTGGATCTTGAGATTAATACAATGTCTAGCAGATACATCAAGAACCTTTTGAAACAATCTTCTGATCACAGACTAACATTCTCGTGGAAATGATTCAGATATATTCTGTTTTTACTGGAATTTCAGATACACCATCTGTATATATACGATTCAAATTCTCAGTTCACTGACATAGTTTCATGAAATATTTCTTTCCATCAATTCTGATGTACTGCTAATTATCAAATTATTCTGATGTAAGAAATAATACCATTTGAAACATACAACCTGGAAAATATATCTTTTATGGACAGGCGATAATTAATGTTTCTACATAACAATATTATGGTATATTTCCGGTATATACTTTCATTGTCATAAAGATACATGTCAACTTGTCAAACTGCTAAAATGGTCATGTACATGCATTAGACACATTAAGACCAAATCCACTGATTCTCTGCTGAGTGAAACCACTTGCTGTTGATAATGTTGATGAGCCAAGTATCAGAATCAATTGAGAACAGAGTAGTCAAGTGTTGAGCAGTGTCTGTGAAGTGCAGCTTAGAGAGACAATCAATGCAGGGGCAGAGAAGAGGGTGGGGCACCTTAGAGAAGCTGGGGCCACTATGAGGAGAATCCACTGCAGGATGGGCGTGTCCATACTCAATCCGCTGCACGTTTTCACCATGGGAAGAACTGAAGACATGTTCACATCAACGTGGGTTATGTCTTTCAACAAGACACTGGCTGACAAACATCAATGTAGATGGTGTGATCTGTCACCATAGCTGCCGAATTTCCCAAAGTTCTATTTTCTTACAATCTCCCGGTCAGGGCCCCAGCTCTAAGTAAGCCTAAGATCTCAGACTTTTCTGAGTAGCATTCGAACCTCCTATGTTACAGTATAGGAGGCACCTAATGCTTGAATCTTAGGCTTACTGAAACGAGGCCCAGGATGCCAGACTACATGAATCGTCTACAGTTGAATACAGACATGTGATTCTGAAACTCAGCAAATAATTTTATCGCTTTGTTTCTACTTCAATTTCTTAAAATACCATTGTGGAGAGCTTGATTGGACAGACATAACCTCCTAAATACGACTCCATACCAATCGAGAAACAAGCAACATTCATATCCGACAATGTGAGGCTAAATAATGACCATCTCCTTATTAGTGTATGAAAACTTAGTCGTCGTAATTTTTTTCATACAGACTGGTATATTATTTGTGATGATAAAGGAAAACATGTATTCGAGACAGTTGGCAGCTATTAGTGACTTATCATACCTTGAAAGCCCATAACGAGCCATTGACAAACTTGAAACAGCAAAGGGCTGAAATTGTGGGTACTTCACGGCAAGCCTATTTCCATAGCTTGTTCACAACGCAGTTTTTCAACGCACATACAAACAATACACACCATTTAATATCTCGTCCCAACCCAGATTGAAGAGGCATGTCAAATCACGACACAGCTCAACAACAGTTTGTTCTTTGACAACTCCTCTGGAGACCATTGCTACTTAAGCAGTTCTCTCCCTTTGAACACAGCATGAAATGGGGATTTTGGATAAGACAGAGGTATGTCCTCCCATGGATGCCACAAAGATGAACAGCCATGCCCAGGCACAGATCCAGCAGTGGGTGGGCGTGTCCGTCCGTTATGGTGATTCACTCATCCTCTTCCTCAGGGTAGGGGATTTCTGGCTCAGCATCGACTGGTGGGGTTCCGTCTCTGGATGTGCTGTTTTGCTCGGGGGGTGGGGAGCTGCAATAAAGGTGGAGAATCTGTGGTTAGTAAATGAACTCTGTATGGACTAGCTGAATCTGGAAGTGTCTTGGTTAAATAGGTTGCATTGCAAAATAAATACACTACAATTTATTAACAATAGATATTTATAAAAAGATGATAAAACAGAGAATTTGTTGATGCATCATATTTTTCAGATAAAATAGCTGGGATTTCTTGAGTTTTTCTCGTAAATTCATATCAAGTGACTGAGTAATTGTTGTCAGTTTCCAATTCAACAAATGTATGTTAAACTCCTCAGAGGACCAATTCAACAAAGTTATCTTAGTGCTAAAACAATCACAACTCCCATAGTGAGTGAGTGAGTGAGTGAGTTGGGTTTTACGCCACTTTAAGCAATATTCCAGCAATATCACAGCAGAGAACAACAGAAATGGGCTTCACACATTGTACCCACATGGGGAATCGAACCTGCATCTTCGGCATGACGAGCAAACACATTAACCACCAGGCTACACCAAAACACACACCCCCAACACCCATAAACTTACAACAGTCATACTGCTAAGATCACTGTGTGTTACAGGTACCCGGAGATCTTCAAGAGAGTAATAATAATCCTCCAAGTCAATTATACTAAACAGATTCCCACTTTCACTGTCTTATAACAAAGATGTGAACTGGCAACATTCACACAGTGGTGGGGTACAAAAATATTGTAAAGTTGATGTGATTAAGCAAAAGATTTTCCTATAAGCAACACAAAAGAGTAGACTGAATAAGCTCAAGGTGGTGCAGATAACATACATGTTACAGTGTTACACTTGTGAAAAAAAAATACATGATACAGGGTACATTAAGTAAAGTACCTGACTTTGCACACAAGGCTAATTCATAATAGTAATATCTGCCCTATGTCTTATGGTGAGTGAGTGAGTTTAGTTTTACGCCACACTCTGCAATATTCCAGCTATATGGGGGCGGTCTGTAAATAATCGAGTCTGGACAAGACAATCCAGTGATCTACAGCATGAGCATCGATCTACACAATTGGGAAACGATGACATGGTGTCAACCAAGTCAGCGACCACCCGATCCTGTTAGTCGCCTCTTACAACAAGCATGGGTTACTGAAGGTTCATTCTAACCGGGACCTTCACGGGTACCTATGTCTTATGGTAGTCTTATGGTCTTATGGCAGTCTTTGTGTTTGGTCAATGCTTTATTGAATGAGGCCATGAAAGTGATATTTGCTCATTATCGGACAGAAGACTTGGGAATGCAGTATGGTAAAGAGCTACCTCTAAACCAGCATTTAATCGAATAGATTCCTACATCTAACTTAATAACAACCATTTCCTGCGAATGTGCCTTTTGTCTGGCAGTAGACTTGGGGACTCTGTAAGGTTGGTTGGTTTCTTGTTTAATGCCGCAGTCAGCAATATTCAAGCAATATGGCGGGGGGATTCAGTAAGGTGAAGAGCTACCTGGTACCAGCATTAAACAGAAAAGATTCCTGCCTATGTATGGTAAACAGTTTGCATGAGTGAGTGAGTTAAGTTTTACGCCGCTTTTAGCATTATTCCAGCAATATCACCAGAAATGGGCTTCACACATTGTACCCATGTGGGGAATCGAACCCGGGTCTTCAGCGTGACGAGTGAACGCTTTAACCACAAGGCTACCCCGCCGCCCCAGTTTGCATGACATTGCTCTTTGGCATCTAATAGATGAAATACAATAACACGAATATGACACGGTAAATCACTTCAGGCTCAGTACGTAAGCATTATGAAGTCTACAAAATGTAAAAGAGAATTAATTTACTTGTCATAATTCTAAGCAAATTTATGAATTAAGTACTGTTATTAGTGGATTATTGACTTTCCACTTGGAAGATAGTTAAGTCAGAGTAGTATTTCGGATAATATGATGGTATACAGTATCCATTAACCATCCTTCATAGAGTTAGAGAGTGAGGTAGGTATCACACTATTTGTATCAATCTAGAATTAAATATCCACTGTTGAAAAAAGAATGGGGCTTCCAATATTGTACCCGTTTGGGGAAATAAACCCTGTCTCAGTGAGTGAGTGAGTGAGTATGGTATTACAAGGCTTTTAGCAATATTCCAGCAATACCACAGCAGGGGACACCAGAAATGGGCTTCACACATTGTACAGTTGTGGAGAATCGAACCTGGGTCTTTAGCGTGACCAGCGGCCACTCTAACACTATCTGGGGGCTTGGGAATCTCTTATTTTGAAAATCATATAGAAAAACCCAAAGACTGACAGAATGAACATTATGCCATTTGAAATATTTTATATTAAGACCTTCACAACAATCGTGACACATTGCAGAGGATTGAGTCGTAGCTGTAGTTATATAATCATCACTGTGGATCAGCTGATGTGAGGAGAGAGCTGAGATTTACACAGGCTGTAAACAATATCCCTTTAGTGTAAGCCAGAATCATGGATATTGTGATATTGTACCGACAAACCAAACATCATAATCTGATGACTGTGGATAAATCTGGGATTAAAACACACCAGCAGCAGATCCTGTAACCTACTGGGTGAAACCTGTGCAAACAGTTGAAGTCTTCGTACACTTCACCCAGGTCAAGGTCATGGCTTAAAGGGCCGCTATAATGAAAGATCTCTTGACTATTTCTATGCATCATTCTGCTGTTATTGTTGTTTTTTCACTTCCATCATAAGATTCAAGTTGACAAGGTGGGTTCTGAATCATCTGAATCAAATTTGCCATGGCAGTCAACTTGGGAAGTGTCACTTTAAATATGTTTTATTGTTTAGCTCTGCACTGCAAAATTTCAGCTATATGATTGCAGCCTGTAAATAAGTGTGAGTGACTGAATTTAGTTTTACTCTGCACTCAGCAATATTCCAGCTATATGATGGCAGTCTGTAAATAATTTAGTCTAGCCCAGACAATCCAGTGATCAACAGCATGAGCATCAATCTATGTAATTGCGATACGATGACATGTGTCAACCAACTCAGCGAGCCTGACCACCCAATCCTGTTAGTCGCCTCTTACGACAAGCATGGGCTACTGAAGATTAATTCTAACCCGGATCTTCACGGGTCCTGTTAATATAAAAGTCTGGACCAGATTATCCACTTATTTAAATTATGAATGCTCCATTCAGTTTGTGTATGCCACCATGCTAACAGCAAAATCACAAAGCTTCCTTCCCATGTATGAAGTACACTCTTATGACACTCTGGTGCCCTATTGAAACTTATATAAGTTACAGTGGAAATGTTAGTACGAGGCTAAAGAGATCTAAATTAGAAAGGCATGAAATAAGCCGGTCTACATGTTGTATATGCAGGATGTACCTTTATCTCATTAGCATCGATGCGATGGTTGGATCTCTGAAAGCACCAATCACAGCATGCCAGATTCACAAGACAACAACAAGAGTCGGTCACATCATACAATTAAGTTCCACAAAATCAAATGCAGAGATGCCACCCACTAACTGAAGTAATTCAGCGTATTTTGGTTACCTGGGTCTAAAATTATTGCTTCATTTTGATGCAATTCAAACATCTTTTGCATTGCATTTTATCAAACAAATTCACCAAAACCTGTAAACCAGAGTTAAAACTAGTTGTCATGCAAATATTACTTGATGATACACATGGCAATGCCTGTGGTGAGGCTGATGAAGTAAAATTTCCTGCAATGTTTTAATATATGACCCTTAGGACATTGCAAATTTTGGTGACAAGTATCATGAATCCATCACAACTATAATGGTTGGCACCTCCGTAATGTGTTGACATACAGTGCAGATGAAACATATTAATGTACAAGATTCTGATCACAAACAAAGGACATTCATTCAGTCAAACACAGAACATAACAGACCATGAAAAACAAACAAATAATCAATTACTGTTTCTGGGGTAAAATACACATTTTCTAAACAAGACATATCCATACTATTTCACATTTTTCAGATAGGTTTTTAATCATCACATTGTTGAATGTTTGGAATAGACCCAGGCTAATCATGTGTGTGACTGACTGACTGACTCCCAGGCTAATCATGTGTGTGACTGACTGACTGACTCCCAGGCTAATCATGTGTGTGACTGACTGACTGACTCCCAGGCTAATCATGTGTGTGACTGACTGACTGACTGAGTTGGGTTTTACGCCGCTTTTAGCAATATTCCAGCAACATCACGTTGGGGGACACCAGAAATGGGCTTCACACATTGTACCCATGTGGGGATTCGAACCCGGGTCTTCGGCGTGACGAGCCAACGCTTTGACCACTAGGCTACCCCACCGCCCCAATCATGTGTGTGAATTTTATATTTCCAACAAAGAGTTTTTAACCACTCACACAAATTTGAACCCACCAAATTTGAGAGCTGGGGAAAAGACTTACATCATCAGATTACCATTAATCACACTCATGGGAGAGGAAATCACCAACTGTTTCTCTCCCTGATGCATGCTCAAGGCCTGAGAAAAAGCACAATCCACAAAATAACTAGTACTTGAAAGACCAACTCTTAAATAGAGTTAGATATGATGTCATCATGAGGAGAAACCTACATGCCTGAAACACATCTTCCTCCGCCAAATATGCCTTTTCAAGTTTTGAGATAATTCAGGAGCATGGTCAAAACAAGGCCAAAATATTTAAATATTGCAAAACCCAGAACATATATGTTCAAACTAAACAAATACCAAATTTCATTATACTCTGAACAAAAAAAGGACCCATAAAGGCAATATATAGCTCTTTGAACAAACTGACAAGTGAGCCATGACAAACAAGTCTCCTGAGCTAAAACTTGTGAATTTCTTAAATAATTATGACCACATCCGACCCGATTGAAACTTTTGTTGTATTTGAAGGGTCTAACTCTACATTTAATTCTATTTCTACCACTGAAGCACAGTTTAAAGAAATAAGATACAAAATACTGTTGACTTTGTAATATTCAACAAGCAAAACACTGATCAGAGCAATCAATGGATCTGTAATGGTTTATAGCTCAAAATATGCTTAAACTATGCAATAGACTAACATGTGAATATTTACGACGTGGTATGCACCAAAAATAAGGACAGGAAATTAAAGAGCACAATACAGTTCACAAAACCACATCAAACGACTTGTGAAATGCACACCAGCCATCACTAGCAGGCATCATTTAATGACATCTAGGCACACCTGTTACCTACCCTAATTGCATGCACAAGCTGCCATATATCTCTGTTAGCATGAAGTGAAGGAAACAGATACATTGTAAAACATGGTTAAATTCAAACATGTATTACAGCTACAGATTTCAATGGGTCATAATCCTTTGGACACCAGATATAAATTCATTCTTCCCTATAGCAAGATCATATCAAAATTTACAAATCTGCACAGTAAGGAAACAAATTGTGGTAAGCTAGTTGTTTGGTTGGTTGGTTGTTGTTTAATGTCACACTCAGCAATATTCCAACTGTATGGCGACGGTCTTTAAATAATTGAGTCTTGACCAGACAATCGAGTGATCAACAATATCAGAATTGATCTACACATTGATCTACGCAATGACTTGGTAAGCAGTTATGTGCATGTACTTGTGATATTTCAATAAGCTCAAACTACTGTTGTTCAGACCTGATCACTTTATCATCAATAAAATTGATCTGTAACTTGCAACGCCAGTCTGTGTGAAGATCTGTGGTCACCACCATACAGGTAATATAGGACAGTAGAAGGCAGATTTCTGAGACTGACTTATACATCATATCTCCATAATCAACAGCCTTTCTGCAATAATCTCCCCTGATTACTACAATTCTGAATTTGTAACCTCAACTTGTGTCCTAGCCATGCTTACACACTCCGCATTAAACACTAATAAACCTTAAATTGGATCTGTGAACATCCATTTTTAGTCTGATTATACAGCATAAATGATAAAACAAAAAGTCAATGATATCCCTCATTACAATTATCTGATCATGATCATACTCACCTTTGCATGTACCCGAAAAATAAGACCAAATATGGCTATCCATATTTTCTTTTGTATATAACATATATTACTCAAAACAGCAGTGCAGCAGATATGATTACAAGGTGTATATCATAAAAAAAATTTGATTTCATCCACATGTGAAAACAGTTTGTACATGTATAACCGCTTGATCCCTGAAATTAATTTTAACCTGTTGTGTTGTCTTAATAAGCATCCCGTCTCCATTTCCAAATCACCCACAGCACTAACAACAGCAAATACATTAAGCTCAAAGGGTATGTTATGTAGGTAAAGGGTCCACTCCATTCTGATGCCTCACATGGGCTGATGTAATCTACATACCTATCTGCTGCATCAGCAGACAGCTGTCGACCCTCCTTCTCTGTCTTCCTCTGATAGTGAGACCTGAAACAATACACACCATCATGATTGCTGATCTGGCAAAATACGCTCCCTGCTACAAGGTAATGTCAGTTGCACACAAAGCAGTCAATTCTACCCTGTTCAGAGCCATGCTAAATGGTAATGGTAACTGACTTTCCATCCAATTTTGGTTCACAATAATCCAGGGGCGGTGGGGTAGCCTAGTGGTTAAAGCGTTGGCTCGTCACGCCGAAGACCCGGGTTCGAATCCCCACATGGGTACAATGTGTGAAGCCCATTTCTGGTGTCCCCTGCCGTGATGTTGCTGGAATATTGCTAAAAGCGGCGTAAATCCCAACTCATTCAGTCAGTCAGTCACAATAATCCAGGACAGGGAGTAGTGATGAATGCTTCTTTACAGTATTCCAGTTACTTTGTGACGAGTCAGCATATTGGTAATCAAAATTGATACAGGATGGAGGCATTCAGACTATGATGAAACCCACAAGTATTGTATGGTGCTGACAGAATGAGGACCCTAAATGTTTCTGGCTTCTGATTCAAACCCATCAACAGCAGGTTCTAGCTCTGTGAAGGGATGCAACTGTTTACAGGAAATTGTGGCACCTTAGACCAATGGAGCTTCTTGCTAGAGGTAAAGACACACCTGTATCTCTGCTGGATGATGACGGACTGGTTGCGACCCTTCTTCAGTCTCTCCGGCCCTTGTCGCTGCAGGCCAGCCGCAGGATCTCGGTTCTTTTTGAGACGTTTCTGTGCGTAGTAACTCCTGAACTGATTCTGGATCAAAACTGCTGCCTGGGTCATCTTCTTGAAATATGCATACTGAAACATACAGTGAGTGAAAAGGTGAGGGGTGTGTGTATATGAGTGAGTGAGTGGGCGGAGTCTCAGGTAAGTTTCTAACAACATTTTGTATTGCTCCAGATACAGCAATGTTAACTACCATGACTACAGCTGACAAATTCATCAAAGCTTCAGTGCAAAGTGATGCTTTGTGCCAGGAGTCTAACAGTACCTGTTTGTATCGCCTATAGTAGCTCTGGATCAAGATGGCGGCTTCTATCTCCTTCTGACGCTGCTGCTGCAGTTGTTGTTTATCCCGATACAGTCGGTACGCATTCTGGATCACCTTGGCAGCCTCGTACAGCTTTCTCTGTTCCTGATCTGAATAGAGAGAAGGATACTTGCAAAGTGGTTCCAGAAGAAGGATCTGCGAGGGAGGGATACTTAACAATGCAGTGGCTTTAATACCAGCTTTGGTACATCACAACCATGATGGTACATCACAACCTTCCAACACTCATTTATTACCTCTTCCATGCAAGCAAAGGATGCTGCTGATGCACTCAGTCCTGGAATATCCACAGACAAAAAACATAGGTGACAGTGAGCCTACCTTTCTGATGAATCTCCACATGAATACAAACATGGGGAACAGTCATGTACCTTTCCTTGGAATCTCCATGGAGACGCAAACATGGGGGACAGTGATGTACCCTTCCTCGGAATCTCCATGGAGATGCAAACATTGGGGACAGTGTTGTATCTTTCCTTGGAATCTCCATGGAGATGCAAACATGGGGGACAGTGTTGTATCCTTCCTTGGAATCTCCATGGAGATGCAAACATTAGGGACAGTGTTGTATCTTTCCTTGGAATCTCGATGGAGATGCTAACATGGGGGACATGGAATCTCTACAGAAACACAAACCTGATAGTGTGAGTTGTGAAAAGTCCTTCTCCATGTACGTGGCAGGCGCGTTGAAATACTCGGTGAAGTCAGCAGTAGTGGGGGGCGGTGAGTCTAGGGTGAAGCTATAGGAACTGTAGGGGCTGTAGGGACTGGGTAGACATGTGGAGTCTGGGCTCAGGGAGGAGGCAGGTGTGCCCAGATCTGTGTACCTGTAACACATAAAGTTACACAGCTATTGGAGAGTGAACTTCGTATTGCATAATTCAAGCCATATCAGGTCTGTGTGACTGGAGCACATGTTTACACTGCTGGAGGAGTGAGTTTCATTTATTTTGGAATGATATATTTTGCAGATGTATCTGGCATACAAACATGTTTACAAAGACAAAGTTTAAAAATTATTGAAGTAAAAATTCAGTCAGAATACCTGGCATGTCTACAGGGATTGGAGAGTGAGTTTCTTCCACTTAACATTATTGAAGTCACATCCGGTCCATACACCTGCCATACAAACATGTTTAAAGTGACAAGTGAGTTTTAATCACTGTGGCATATTCAAGTCCCTACCTGTACTCGTCAAAGGCCAGACTATCTGTCATTGGTGTTGAGATTCCAGAATCATCCCCAAATGATGAGGTTGGAGGTGAGCCTTGAGACGGGGCCGAGCTGTATGACTCGCTCCTCGCTCGACTGCTCACCCCACACTCCTCCTCCTTGGCAGGAGACAGCTTGATACGCTCTGGCATGGCTGCGATGATCTGGTTGGCAAGGGTAACCATTTGGTTCTTGCCTTCATGATCACCACCTGAAATAATTTGGTGCAATACATGAGGTTTTGTTCCTGTGTTCTTTTAAACACAGAAATCAGCAGGAATTTCAGCATGACGAGGAGGCAGAATCCCATGACATTTTTAAGAGCAACCTCAAAACCTATCTCTTTAGGACTTTCCATAACTTGTGAACACCCATGAAAAAACCCACCTATGACTTTTTGCAGTGACTTCATTTTGTTTGTAACACCATGAGCAAGCACTCTGTGCCTGGAGTTTGGCGTAGTATAAATGCACATATCATTATTTATGACATGGCAGCCTGTTAAATTTCCAATCCATACGAACCACATACATTGTGAGCAATATTCCTTGGCAGTTTGGCTAACAGTGAGTTTGTAGCTACTTTGAACAGAATTTCCGTTACATTACATATGGATTTAGGAGGGAGCCCCTAGTGATGCAGGTCAAAGCCATTGACAGCTTTCAAGACACCCATAAGTACAATTAGTGTCGGCAAACCCACAATCACAGATTTCTAGCATGGACACAACAAAGCATGGATTTAAGCTGAAACAATACACAGTATATCAATTCTCCCTTCACTGCATAACATTTTTACATTTAGAAGAGGTTCATTATATGTCTTACCTTCACCAGATGCTGCAGCAGCGGCGGCGGCAGCAGCAGCAACAGCTGCTTTGTGTTCCGCCTCCTCGTCAGATGAGATCTTTTCTACATCAATGAAAGGGCTGTCACTCCGCACAGATGATACCTCATCTACAGATATAGAGACCTTGCATCACTGACATTCACCATGGTGTACATACATATATCAATAATTAACAAAGTTTTTCAGTTTAAATGCTTCAAGAGTTCTTGCTAATATACTTTAGCAATAATTATATATCAATAATATAGTGAGTGATTGAGTATTGTTTTAAGTCGCGTTTAGCAATATTATCATGGCAGGGGACACCAGATATGGGCTTCACACATTGTACCCATGTGGGGAAAGAAACCCAGGTCTTCAGCATGACGAGTGGTTAACCATTAGGTAATAACCATTATGTGTCACTGATCATCACTAATGCCAATTTCATGATCTTTTGGGGGGACTTGTTTCAATTATTGTTAAAACGACAAGTCACATTTCAAATTACCTTAAAGCATACAAGACTTTTATTTTAAAAATGCCCCCCACTGAAGATCTGGGTAAGAATTTGTCTTCAGCAAATCCTTGTTTTTTGAAAGAGCTGATTAACAGGGTCCATCAGTCAGACTTGCAGACTTAAATGATGCATGACACCATGTCCTGATTGCATAGATCAATATTCATTATGTCGATGAATCAATGGTCATGATCACTGGATCGTCTGGTCCAGGCTTTACTAACAGACCCTTCAATATAGCTGGAATATTGCTGAAAGAGGCATTTAACAACAAACAAAACCAGCAAAATCCTTCGGTAACTTTCAAGCTGATTGCTATCAGAGCAGTTTCGTATAGTCTTTTAGTTGTCCTGTTCCACTTACCTGTATCCATCTGCATGAGGAGACCATCCGTCTCCTTCCCAGACTCTGTCGCTATGGTGTTGAGCAAAGACTCGGTCTGCATGAGAATATCTGGCGATGCCAGATCACGTTGAGCAACTGGTAGCAAGGCAGAGTCCGTCACTGCACTGATTGGATGATCACCAACCAATGACAGATGGGGCTCAGAATTGGCCTCCCGAATAGGCTTCTGAAAAGCATCATGTTGGGGCGAAGTCTGGTCGTTTGTCGCCCCACTCGGCAATATATCCACTGAATAGCGTTTGCTAAGCTGGCGATGACATGTACCAATGACTTGTTCACTGAGTCGCCTGACGAGCTTGGAATCCCCTGGGTAGGGAGGGGGAGGAGGTATGTCGATGTGAAGATTTTCCTGCTTGTCATCACAAATGTTTTTGTGAGAACTAGGGAAGATATGGCAAGGAGTTGGTGACATGTCACACGCTGTGATAGAGTCCGAAGTTGAAAAAGAAGAAGTTGCACCAGCAAATGATCCTGTGGAAGTGCATGGGGGAAATGAAGGCGGGGCTTGTAGACGAACTATCTCTAACTGCTCGATTTGATTGGCAAGGTTGTGATGTCCCTTGCTTCGAGCAACAGTGAGAGGGAGACGTCCATCCTTATTACAGATGTTGAGTGGCCCCGTGTTGATATGATACAGTGTCAAAGAAGCATCAATATTTCCTCTTGCACATGCCCACATCTGAAATATACAAGTGCAAAGGTAAGAGAAGTGGTTCTGGCCACTGTTTTCAGCACTAAGGTGATCAAAGACTCATATTTTACGAAAGGCTTAGGCCTAAAAAAATAATGTTGTGGTTCCGATTACCCGACCAACCCTTGAATTCTGGTGCCGACCCTACTTTTGTAAGTGGTATGAATAAAATAAGCCATTGTTTTTTCCAGCACCGACAGACATCGGTCATTCTGATAGAGATGACATGATGGCCTCAAGCTTGATTAAATAAACAATTACACATTGATAAATGTGCTATTAGTTTGTAGTTTATGTCTAAAAAAACATGTGTTAAAAATAAAATCCTACCTACCTACCCTAAATTTTAAAGAGGTGTAATTGGAACCACAACATTTTTTTTGTTTGGCCTTATGACAGTAATTTATTAGATAAGTTGAAGATTTTACAGTAAGATGACGACCAAAACTGAAACAAGGCTATAATATTCCAAACAACACACCGTAGCAGGCAAATTTGGACTAAATGGGTTATTAATTTAAGTTTTTTTTAAAATGGCATTCAGTACAAAGTATATTTAAGCCTCTTCCTCTTTATTGGTCCTGTTATCAGTGTAAGACGAATCCCCTCCACCATGGCGTCACATTAGTTGTAACATAGCAACGTGAACTTGGACATTTGGATTTATCATTTGGGAATTTCTACAGCTGCTGCTGCAGACTGAAGGCTGGAGTGAGTGAGTCTGGAGTGAGTGAGTGAGTTTAATTTTACACCATACTCAGCAATATTCTAGCAATATTGCGGCGGTCTGTCAATAATCGCGTCTGGACCAGACAATCCAGTGATCAACACCATGGGCACCAATCTACGCAATTGGGATATGATGACATGTAAGAACCAAGTCAGCGAGCCTGACCACCCGATCCCATTAGTCGCCTCTTACGACAAGCATGGGTTACTGACTGACTGACTGAGTTGGGTTTTACGCCGCTTTTAGCAATATTCCAGCAACATCACGGCGGGGGACACCAGAAATGGGCTTCACACATTGTACCCATGTGGGGATTCAAACCCGGGTCCTCGGCGTGACGAGCCAACGCTTTAACCACTAGGCTACCCCACCGCCCCAGGAGAACCGGAGGTACTTCTTGAACTCGGGGTGCATTGGAACATGGAGGTATGCGTCTTTGAGATCGATTGACGTGAGCCAATCCCCTCTCGACGGAGGAGATCACTGACCTGAGTGTCTCCATCCTGAAAGACGGCACCTCCAGTAACTTGTTCAGCCCTCTGAGATTCAGAATGGGTCTGAACCCTCCGTCCTTTTTGGTCACTAGGAAGTAGGTGGAGTAAAACCCCTCTCCTTGCTGACCCACAGGAACCACCTCGATGGCTGCCTTGTCCAGTAAGGACTGAACTTCGGCACGGAGTACATCCGCCTTTTCTCGGGAAGTCGGCACAGGAGTGTGCCCAACCCCGGAGATGGACGGAGGATCTCGCCTCCACTGTGGCAAATGGCCATCCCTGAGTGTGGACAGGACCCAGGGATTTGTTGTGGCTGCCTCCCACTCCCAAAGGAATAGGGACAACCGGCCGCCAACAGGGACATTTGGCATGAGGCAGTGCACCCCACAGTCGGCAAGTCTCCGCAGCAATCTGACTGACGGAGTTTGGTTTTACGCCGCTTTTAGCAATATTCCAGCAACATCACGGCGGGGGACACCAGAAATGGGCTTCACACTTCGTGCCCATGTGGGGATTCGAACCCGGGTCTTCGGCGTGAGCATGGGTTACTGATGATCAAGTGTAAACCAGACCTTCATGGGTCATATCAGTCTCGAAGCAGGTCCAGATAAACAGATATGATCAGGATAATGCTAAACTAATAAGCTTCTCACCAATGGTGTACAGGCATGATTGTCCACACTGTGAGCATCAACTTCATATTCTAAAACTAAATTGGAGATGTCAGACCTGTCAAAGAAGGAGAAAACTATATTATTAACTAATGATGGTTATGGTCAATCAATTATCATCATTACCATGGTCATTATTTTAATCAATTACACATATCGGGGTCATCATCATTATCACATTCTATAAATCAGTTCTGGGTAAGAATGGATCCATCCATCCCATCATCCATACACCCACCAACCCATCCAATCATCCATACACACACCAACCCATCCAATCATCCATCCATCCACCCCTTCCAATCATCAAGCCATCCATCCCATCCCATCACCCATACACCCACCAACCCATCCATCCATCCCATCCAATCATCCATCCATCCCTTCCAATCATCCATCCATCCCATCCAATCATCCATCCCATCCAATCATCCATCCCTTCCAATCATCCATCCATCAATCCCGTCCAATCATCCATCCATCCCATCCAATCATCCATCCCTTCCAATCATCCATCCATCAATCCCGTCCAATCATCCATCCATCCCTTCCAATCATCCATCCATCAATCCCGTCCAATCATCCATCCATCCCTTCCAATCATCCATCCCTTCCATCATCCATCCATCTCTTCCAATCATCCATCCATCTCTTCCAATCATCCATACCTTCCATCATCCATCCATCTCTTCCAATCATCCATCCATCCCTTCCAATCATCCACCCACCCAATCATCCATCCACCCATCCCATCATCCATCCGGTCATCTATCCCATCATCCATCCACCCATCCCATTATCCATCCATCCATCTACCCACTCATCCATCCATCCCATTATCCATCCATACACCCAATTATACCATTATCCACCCATTCATCCACCCTCATCCATAAATCCACCCACTCATCCCATTATCCATCCACCCACTCATCCATCCATCTACCCATCCATCCCATCATCCAACCATATCATCATCCAACCATCCATCCACCCATCTCATTATCCATCCATCCACCCATCCCATTATCCATCCATCCACCCACCCTTCCCTTCCCATCAACCATCCACCATCCACCAATCCCATCATCCATCCACCCACCCCATTATCCATCCATCCAACCCACCCCATTATCCACCCACCCATCCCATTATCCATTCATCCATCCATCTTCCAATCATCCATCCATCATCCATCCACCCACCCACCCACTCATCCCATTATCCATCCATCCACCCATCCATCATTATCCATCCATCATCCATCCCATCATCCATCCATCTATCTACCCATCCCATCATCCAACCATCCATCCATCCCATTCCAATCCATCCATCCTTCCACTCATCCACCCACCCATCCATCCATCTATCTACCCATCCCATCATCCAACCATCCACCCATCCCATCATCCATCCATCTACCCATCCCATCATCCATCCACCAATCCCATTATCCATCCATCCATTCCATCATCCAGCCAGCCAGCCAGCCACCATTCCATCATCCATCCATCCCATCCATCCATCGATCCACACCCTGTTGACTGGATGTTGTTGCAACCCTTAGACCTCGAGCGTTGCTCATAAGAACAACCACTGGTTTGTCTCATCAAGGCATTTACATTTAAAGGCTACAATGATATGGTTGGAAAGTTGTTGAATGCAGCAAAAAAACCCCAAAGAACCAGGGACATATACAACAGCTATGTCCTCACTATACCATGACAGGCTTTAAAGCCAAGCTAACCAATGGTTGGTAGCACAAACAAAAACCCACATCTCCAGGTTAATTGACACTAGAGGCAAACTTCAAGGGCACTCAAACAAACTTAGGTTTTTACTCAAATTTCAAACTGAGTTCGACAATCTGAAACAGTTGAATTTTTAACTCAACTGTATTTTTAAAACAAAAAAGCCCGAACAACTTAAGTAATCTATCCACGAAACTCAATTGTCTACTATGTTTGAGTTTAATATCAATTTCAGTTCATTCTGGGAAATACATTTTCTCAAATTTGAGTAAAATCTCTAACTTAAGTCAAAACTCAGACTTAAGTTTGTCTCAAGAAATCGGACTAATTTCCAACACTGATTCCAGAAGCAGGGCTACTCACCTCCACCTAACAAGTGAGCTGATGAGTTTGGCATAGCCAAGGGCCGCCGCTAGATGAAGTAACGTCAGTCCACCATGGCCAGCCTTGGGGTAGGTCTCTAGTTTCTGCCATGGTCGACCAGCTAGGTGTTCCACATACTGCACAAGACGACACTCAGTGTTCTCATGGTCAATGTTCAGGTTATGCTGGAATGGTGATCAACAAACAACATCATAACACTCATCTAAGTCCAAGACTCCTTGTTAAAACCTACACCTTCATTTATACTGATACTGAAGTAATAAAGTTAACATGTTCCCAACTCAAAGGGAGACCAGGCTAATTAGCAGTCTGAGAAAATTAAAGTCAATTATATGTCGACTAGTTCGTTTTTCCGATGCTTACAATGCATATCAATTTGTCAGTTGATAATTAGAATTCAGTTTGTCAAGGAAAGCTCAGCTGTTTCTCAAGGAAAGCTCACCTGCCTGGCTTGTCAAGGAAAACTCACCTGCTTGTCAAGGAAAGCTCACCTGCTTGGATTGTCAAGGAAAACTCGCCTGCTTGTCAAGGAAAGCTCACCTGCTTGGTTTGTCAAGGAAAACTCGCCTGCTTGTCAAGGAAAGCTCAACTGCTTGGTTTGTCAAGGAAAACTCACCTGCTTGTCAAGGAAAGCTCAACTGCTTGGTTTGTCAAGGAAAATTCACCTGCTTGTCAAGGAAAGCTCAACTGCTTGGTTTGTCAAGGAAAACTCACCTGCTTGTCAAGGAAAGCTCACCTGCTTGGATTGTCAAGGAAAGCTCACCTGCTTGTCAAGGAAAGCTCACCTGCTCGGTTTGTCAAGGAAAACTCACCTGCTTGTCAAGGAAAGCTCAACTGCTTGGTTTGTCAAGGAAAACTCACCTGCTTGTCAAGGAAAGCTGTGTTCTTGTCAGCCGGCATGAGCCTCTTCTCCAGCTGCTCCAACCTCTCCACCAGCAGCAATTTCATCTCCGTCGCTGAAACAAAAACATTGCTTACATAAACACACTGGACTACACATCTATGTATTCACACTTACATACTTACATTGATATACACATCTATGTACACACATCGACATACATACACCTGCATATACAATGTACCCATCTATATATACACACATCTATGTACATATACCAAGTATGAGGAATCTACGACACACATTAACATTCACATGATCGTCAACTGGCAAGATTTACTACGGGAGACTGCAGTTAATTTAATGTGTCAATACATTTCGAATGAAAAAGAAACAGAACTACTGTTGAAGTTGAGAAAAAGTGTATACGACACACATTAACATTCACAACGTCAACTGGCAAGATTTACTATGGGAGACTGCAGTTAATTTAATGTGTCAATACATTTCGAATGAAAAAGAAACAGAACTACTGTTGAAATTGAGAAAGTGCATATTGTTTTATGCCTCAGCAATATTCCAGCAATAACGATGAAGCTTTGAAATAATCTTGTCAAAAGTAGACGAACAAGTGGCTGAAAGCATGAGCTGGATTTCACGCCATGTAAACAGCCAGTCTCAGTAAACTTAAACTCATTCATTAAACTGCTATACCGAGTCTAACAAACCCTAGAAGAAGTATAGCAGTGTAATGAATAATACTGAGCCTAAGCTTACTTGTACTGCGTAAACAGCATTTCAGTTACATCACATGTCAGCTTCATATGGGAAGAAAGCCTGAAGTGATGCATGTCTTAGATACCTACACATTTGGTGGAATAATAGGGCTTTCTTTCATTCTGGTTATCAGTTACAAATATATGTCAACCTAATGTGGAATGAAAGTTAAATGTGAGGCAGGTCCAGGGATTGGGATAGAGAACTTTGACAACGGGCCATTTTCAGGATTATTGGCAATTTTCTGAACTTAGAATGGGCCACTGCCCTTTTATCAATAGTAAACTTCAACATTTTAATGGGCCATTTTTTATTCTAATGTGCAAAATGGCCCATGGCCCCTGCCTTTCCCAATCCCAGCACGTCACAGACTTGTGTCATCAGGAGGAAAACCTGCACAAATAGCCGTGCTGAAAGCTAAATCTCAAACACCAATGATGATTAACTTTGAATCAGCAGAGGCAATGTGTGAGTGTGTGAGTGAGTCAATGAGTTGAGTTGACTTTCATGCTTATTCTTTTTCAGAAGAAGTCCTCCTTGGGGTACATATAAGCATTAAAATGTCCATTTTAAATACCTATGACAGTTGTAACAATATTTCAATAAAATATTTTATGTTTTTGTCTTGTAAGACCACCCCTACAGGGCCCCACACTGCCCCCTACAGCCAAGAGCGGGTAACAACTACTTACAATCCATTGAGAACCATTCGTTGTGAGCTGACTGTGAACTAGGCTTTTCCCGAGCCTTGTACTCGAACACCTCACTGTTGGAGATGACAAAACCATCATTGGCCACCTGCAGCGTCACCAGGCCAGCGTCATGTGCTGCAAGACATGAAGGTCATAAGACATCAAACATTGAAACAAAAATAACTAAAAGAACCTACAAAAAAATCTCATGATACATGAAGAAAGAGCACTGTTGACATGACATGACATGACATGTCCTCTTTTGACCAGTACAGCAACTGGGGACCCATCCCAACCCAGAGGCCCCTTCTGCAAGACAATCGACAGTCACCTCTTGTGACCAGTACAGGCAACTGGAGACCCATCCCAACCCAGAGGCCCCTTCTGCAAGACAATCGACAGTCACCTCTTTTGACCAGTACAGCAACTGGAGACCCATCCCAACCCAGAGGCCCCTTCTGCAAACAATTGAGAGTCACCTCTTGTGACCAGTACAGCAACTGGTGACCCATCCAAACCCAGAGGCCCCTTCTGCAAGACAATCGACAGTCACCTCTTGTGACCAGTACAGGCAACTGGAGACCCATCCCAACCCAGAGGCCCCTTCTGCAAGACAATCGACAGTCACTTCTTGTGACCAGTACAGGCAACTGGTGACCCATCCCAACCCAGAGGCCCCTTCTGCAAGACAATCGACAGTCACCTCTTGTGACCAGTACAGGCAACTGGAGACCCATCCCAACCCAGAGGCCCCTTCTGCAAGACAATGATCGACAGTCACCTCTTGTGACCAGTACAGGCAACTGGAGACCCATCCCAACCCAGAGGCCCCTTCTGCAAGACAATCGACAGTCACCTCTTGTGACCAGTACAGGTAACTGGAGACCCATCCCAACCCAGAGGCCCCTTCTGCAAGACAATCGACAGTCACCTCTTGTGACCAGTACAGCAACTGGTGACCCATCCCAACCCAGAGGCCCCTTCTGCAAGACAGTCGACAGTCACCTCTTGTGACCAGTACAGGCAACTGGAGACCCATCCCAACCCAGAGGCCCCTTCTGCAAGACAATCGACAGTCACCTCTTGTGACCAGTACAGGCAACTGGAGACCCATCCCAACCCAGAGGCCCCTTCTGCAAGACAATCGACAGTCACCTCTTGTGACCAGTACAGCAACTGGTGACCCATCCCAACCCAGAGGCCCCTTCTGCAAGACAATCGACAGTCACCTCTTGTGACCAGTACAGGCAACTGGTGACCCATCCTAACCCAGAGGCCCCTTCTGCAAGACAATCGACAGTCACCTCTTGTGACCAGTACAGGCAACTGGTGACCCATCCCAACCCAGAGGCCCTTCTGCAAGACAATCTACAGTCACCTCTTGTGACCAGTACAGGCAACTGGTGACCCATCCCAACCCAGAGGCCCCTTCTGCAAGACAATCTACAGTCACCTCTTGTGACCAGTACAGGCAACTGGTGACCCATCCCAACCCAACCCAGAGGCCCCTTCTGCAAGACAATCGACAGTCACCTCTTGTGACCAGTACAGGCAACTGGTGACCCAACCCAACCCAGAGGCCCCTTCTGCAAGACAATCGACAGTCACCTCTTGTGACCAGTACAGGCAACTGGTGACCCATCCCAACCCAGAGGCCCTTCTGCTGCAAGACAATCGACAGTCACCTCTTGTGACCAGTACAGGCAACTGGAGACCCATCCTAACCCAGAGGCCCCTTCTGCAAGACAATGGAGACAGTCACCTCTTGTGACCAGTACAGGCAACTGGAGACCCATCCTAACCCAGAGGCCCCTTCTGCAAGACAATCGACAGTCACCTCTTGTGACCAGTACAGGCAACTGGAGACCCATCCTAACCCAGAGGCCCCTTCTGCAAGACAATCGACAGTCACCTCTTGTGACCAGTACAGGCAACTGGTGACCCATCCCAACCCAGAGGCCCCTTCTGCAAGACAATCGACAGTCACCTCTTGTGACCAGTACAGGCAACTGGAGACCCATCCTAACCCAGAGGCCCCTTCTGCAAGACAATCGACAGTCACCTCTTGTGACCAGTACAGGCAACTGGAGACCCATCCCAACCCAGAGGCCCCTTCTGCAAGACAATCGACAGTCACCTCTTGTGACCAGTACAGGCAACTGGTGACCCATCCTAACCCAGAGGCCCCTTCTGCAAGACAATCGACAGTCACCTCTTGTGACCAGTACAGGCAACTGGAGACCCATCCCAACCCAGAGCCCCCTTCTGCAATACACAATCGACAGTCACCTCTTGTGACCAGTACAGGCAACTGGTGACCCATCCCAACCCAGAACCCTCTTCTAGAAGACACTGACCTGGAGTGAAGCACCGGAGAACTCCAGCCTGTACAAGTGTAGCAGGCACCGTCTTACTGTTGAACACAACAGAGTAGGAAGTGGACGTGGAGAACCATGGGCCTGTCACCAGGATCTTCGTGCCACCCTTCAACAAACATCATCATTCAATAGCAACATCACATCTAATAAGTCACAAACCCTGTCATAGGCATGTAAATCCTATAGCTAAAAGATGATAACTTCTAAAGACTAGAGTAGTAAAATACTTATGATAACAATTCATTTTGATCAACAATATTTGTGCATACATCCTACAATGTACATGCTCTCAAATCACAACCTAGAACAAATCCTGGTAAGGATACTCAAAACTTGAGGTTCTGTACTTGGTTCTGTAATGTATAATATCTGTGAGTTAGAGCCTGGTTCTCATACTGCTTGCTACAGTGTCTCAGTTACATCACAGTGTCAGTCAGGTATGTGAGGAAAGCTCAAGTGATGCAGGTCCCCGACATGCACCACTTGTAACAAACAATCAAGTGATTGATGTCCAGTATGCCAACAGGGTTCAATGACATACAAAAACCTGAGCACCTGAGCCTGACTACCCCATTCATTATGTCACCTCTTGAGATCAAAATAGATTACTTGAGATCAACATAGATTACTGGAGATCTACTCCAATCTCCCGAAGAGGGATCCAATTATTATTTTTTGATCAACATAATTATACATAAAATTCAATGCATCTCACATCTGTGTAGCACCAGTCTGGTGAGAAATCTGTGATGATGCCCTGTGAGAAACTGCTGTCTGTGTCCGGCTGTGAGTGAGTGTTGTCTGCTGTCTGTGTGTCTGGCGTAACAGACGTCGATGTTGTAGATTGATGTGTCTCTGCCCGTTGCTGCTGGGATTGTTGAGCTTGTTGGTTGCTGAGGCAGTTAGCACAACTGATGAGCGGGACAGAAGTCGGCATTCCGCCACTTGACGTCCCGAGACTTGCATTTGTGTCAGGCAAATCAGGACAGTCATAAAGTTCGGGCAAGTCGAGAAGATAATCAAGATTGAGATCAGTACTGGGAAATGAGGAAAAGCTGCCATCAAGAGTATCACAATTATCAGTCCCCGAATTATCTTTCACATGTGTTCCCACAGTGTGCGAGCAGTCCCCGCGCGAATGAGCGAGTCTAATGTATTGTGGAGATTTCGCTGAGTATCTGAGATTGTGGCTGACATTTGATCAAGAATAAGATCTTTCGAGTCCTGCTGGGTGCCTGCCAGCTCCGACAAAACATCACTTGCAATATTCATCGGAACGGGAGACTTCCCGTTCGAGTCATGCGTATGGATATTGTGAATATGTTGTGATAATTTATCATCTTGCTTGAAACCAGCAAGCACTTGGGGAATGGTTTGGAGTATCTGAGGCTGTGGGAAACGGCCCTGTGTGTCCAGGGTTGCCGCGGTGATAGTGTGAATGGGCGTGGTGAGAGAGTTGTTGATGATGGAGATGGGTGATGTGTTATGTCCGCTGACGAAGATCAGACCATTTCCGCGTGAAGACTTGCTAGATTCAGGATGAGAGGGGCAGGAGCTGCAGCAGTGTGGTTCAAGTCTTGATTGGAGTTAGACGAGGGAGCTGAAGTGGGTGTGATCACAACTTGGCTGGTGTGAAGCTCAGGTGTAGGCGGGGCTACCGACTGGGTGGCGCTGCGTTGGGTGTGGCGTTGCAACATGGACACCAGGCGATTGTGTGCCAGGCTGGCAGTGTTTGGAGGGGATGAGTCCTTGGTGCATTTGGAATGAGGAAAGTTTTTGTCACAGGAAGGAGTGCATTTGTGGGGTTTGGCTTTCCCAGATTTGTCCTGCCGAAGGTTAATCAACTGTTGAACAAAGTCTTCAATCGTTTCTTCAACCTGAAAGACAAAGGACAATGTTTTCACAATGCTACCAAACATTTACCAGGAACATCAACACTGAGTTACACCCTGGGTCCATTAACACACTCCTAATGATAAGACATTAGTCATATTTGTGGCACACTGAATATCTGGCCATTCTTTGTCTTTCCCCATAATGCCAATCACCAGGTATGACATGGTCAGGGGATCAGCTACAAACCCAGTCAAATGCTTGATCCCATTCACCATGGAGGCAGCACAGAGTCTGGGGTATAGTCTTAGACTGAATATATTCATACAGTTTGGCTTAACACCTTTTTGAAGAGTATTTCAGCTATTTCACAGCATTCAGTATGATGTGAGGGGAAAGTGATCTAGCTCTTACAAGTCAGCCACTTTGGAGAATCTCACAAACACATGTTGATAATGAAACACAATCAGACCCAATCCCCAATTTAAACCCATCATCATAAGCCTGAGTGATGCAACTCTGCACAGTGAATTGCACTACTTTATAATGTCACCCCCTGTGCCACTGTGATGTTTATAAAAGCTTCTGGGAATCAGTCAAATCCAAAGCAGTAACTACTCAAAACATATAGACATACTGTACCTACCATGTGTTCTTGCTCAGGACCAAGATCCACTCTCCGGCCACATGCCACTGCAAGAGATACATTCATAGCATCATATAAAGGACTACAGCTGTTATTATTACAAATCATCATCTATAAAAGAAATGCAATATTTTCTGCAAGCTATAATGGCTTCTGTCATTTTCTGTTATCAACAATTTAACAAGTGTAATCTTGAAGCATCAATGTTTAACATTTTGTCACTTGAGGGTAGGATATTTACAGTCAAATCCTGATGAGTCGAATCGCTGGGGACCAAGTAATAAATTTGACTTATCAATGTATTCGAGACATAGGTATGTCTATGAGGGTAGAAAAATAGATGATCCAGTCCTAATTCCTCCACCTAAGCATTTGTTTACCTAATGATTTCCCTATCACTAATAGGGGCACCTTATCATTTCCAGTCTGATTAGCACAGACAGGGATTTCCGTAAAATCACTAATACGCCTTTTGAACTCACCCATCAATGGTGGAAAGGTGTGAGCCGCGCTGGTTTGTTAATTGGATCAGTTTGCTACACCAATCACCTTCTCATTGACTGACTTCGGCTTATGTATACAAGATTGCTGTTGTTTAAATCTCATGGGACCAAATTTCCTTCTCGAGGCATCGTGTGTATTTATGAGACGAATTCGTGTAACCGGAAATCAAATGATGACAACTATAACAAGGAATGGTTGGGACCGACAGGTACTTTGAGTTATGCATAATATTCGAGACATCGGCATTCGACTCATCGGGATTTGACTGTAGTTGGTTTTGAGGTGACAGTTAGTCTGTAAAAAGTATCTACTTTGGAGTTGCTCTGGTAGAAGAGGCTTGGACTAGCATATGAAGTTTTTTTAAGAATGTGTCTCCAGCACGCATCTTTGTCACTAAAGGCTACTGACAGGTTCTGGTTGTCATGGTTCCCGACTTAGTTGATGCATGTCATCGTATCCCAAACACTCAGATTGATGCTCATGGTTTCAATCACTGGATTGTCTGGTCCAGATTTGAATATCGTCTGGCCAGCAGTATACAACTAGAATGTTCCTAAATGCAATGTTTAACAACAAAGTTCATTAAGGGGGCAGGTGTCAACTTACACATAGGCCTGAGCTGATCAACAAGTTCTTCCTTGGTCCATTCTTTCTTCTCCATGTCGTAAGATAAAACAGGAATGCTCAGTTTGGTGTTGTCAGGGTAGGGGACATTCAGGTAGTGGACAAGAACAATGTCAGGATTCTGAAACAGGCCAGGCCATACTTACAATTGTACATCCATGCCACAGCTACAAAATATCGCAAATAATAAGTTGCAAATTATATGTAGTCCGGATTTCGACTTAAACATCAAGTGGTTGGGAACCAATTAGTTATATCCATCAATTCTTTACAAGTGTGCTTGTCATACAAGTAGTTAATTGCAGTACACATGACACCCACCTGGAGCAACCAATAACAGCGTCTATGGAACGTAGGGAGGATCGCCGAGTGCACATATGAACCATAAATACACTGAAAAACAAACACAATCATCATTCAATCAGCTAAACTTCAACCAAGTAATCAGGTGTCCACCAACATCAACCAAGTAATCAGGTGTCCACCAACATCAACCAAGTAATCAGGTGTCCACCTACATCAACCAAGTAATCAGGTGTCCATCAACATCAACCAAGTAATCAGGTGTCCAACATTAACCAAGTCATCAGGTGTCCACCTACATTAACCAAGTAATCAGGTCTCCACCAACATCAACCAAGTAATCAGGTGTCCACCTACATCAACCAAGTAATCAGGTGCCCATCAACATCAACCAAGTCATCAGGTGTCCACCATCAACCAAGTAATCAGGTGTCCACCTACATCAACAAAGTAACCAAGTGTCCACCAACATCAACCAAGTCATCAGGTGTCCACCAACATCAATCAAGTCATCAGGTGTCCACCAACATCAACCAAGTAATCAGGTGTCCATCAACATCAACCTAGTAATCAGGTGTTCACCAACATCAACCAAGTAATCAGGTGTCCACCTACATCAACCAAGTAATCAGGTGTCCAACATTAACCAAGTAATCAGGTGTCCACCTACATCAACCAAGTAATCAGGTCTCCACCAACATCAAACAAGTAATCACGTCTCCACCAACATCAACCAAGTAATCAGGTGTCCACCTACATCAACCAAGTACCCAGGTGCCCACCAACATCAACCAAGTCATCAGGTGTCCACCATCAACCAAGTAATCAGGTATCCACCAACATTAACCAAGTAATCAGGTGTCCACCTACATCATACAATTACCAGTGTAAACATGACTACAGCAAACTGAATGTGTGCAATCCAGTGATACAACTTTACTGAAATTCTGAAACATTTACCACTGTCAACTTGGGACATCCAAAAATGGCTTGTACTTCTTTGGATAATATCTGACAAACTCAAATAGCAAGCTCAGACTTGTGCCCTACATGCATCTCTGCTGAATCTGAGAATCTGAATCTGATAGCAGAGATTCGGTGTGTCAATACTTTGTGGTCAATTTACCAGTTATGTGTCAGAAGTGTGGAGGAGGTCTCAGAAATATTGCATCATATCATTCATGTCTTGTCATGGCCAAATCCCCTTTGCATTTGCCTTTTACATCACAGTCTGCAATACTATATTACTATTTCCTGTAAATAGTGAATGAGTTTAGTTTTACGCCGTTTTAGCAATATTCCAGCAACATCACGACAGGGGACACCAGAAATGGGCTTCACACATTGTACCCATGTTGGGAATCGAACCCAGGTCTTTGGCGTGACAAGCGAACGCTTCAACCATTAGGCTACCCCACCACCCGTTTCCTGTAAATAACTGAGTCTGGGTCAGACAAAATGATGTTGTGCGACATTGGCACAAATCAGCGACCTGACTATTGGGGCCTATTCAAGTCAACCCTTATTACCAACAATTAAAGGCTGACAGTGACATCTGTACATATTAGCAGACATTCGTCTACTGCTGAGTTGAACAAGCATACTTTTGAAGTCAGTGTCAGCACACATCCTAGTTGTACCCCTCACCTCCACCCCCTGTACTTTGAGCTTCATGTGATCCTCCCTGATAGTCTTGCCATCGCGTCGCTTCTTCCAGCAGTAGCCGTCCTTGCGGTACCTGACCTTGTTCCGGCTGTACAGCAGCATGGAGCCACTCGGAGGCCTGAAACCATGAATTAATACAATCCTTATTCCATTAGCCCTTCCCACATTGACACAAATAACATGCCCTCACCATTTCACGATTTAACTTGCCTAGGCTTGCCAACCATTTTAAGGGTTAATCAATATCTTTTTCAAAATGTCACTTTCGACAACATGGCATATCATTCAATGGCCCTTCTAAATTTCACTTGTCTCAGGCTAGCAGACCAGTGTCATTCTGTAACACTAATCACTGGCCTTTCCAAAGTTTCATTGATGTCAGTTTAATGCTTAATTTACTGTAATGCTGGCAAGTTGCAACAATATGCATTGGCATGAAAACTTAAGGTATGTTCACTCACACACCACAGTGTCTTTCTATTGAAATATGGCATGATTTCACATTTTCTTTTACCTCCATTGAGATAAGCACTGACCTCACTGGTGTTCCACTACTGTTATTCGTCAATTAAAGTGAGTGAGTTAAGTTTACGCCGCATTCAGTACTATTCCAGCTATATGGCAACGGTCTGTAAATAATAGAGTCTGGACCACACAATGCAGTGATCAACAGCAAGAGCATTGATCTGCACAATTGGGAACCGATGACATGAGTCTACCAAGTCCGTGGTATCAATATTCTAACCCAGACCTTCACGGGTTCGTCAGTTAAAATAGGCACTGACCTCATTGGTGGCATATCATTCAATGGCCCTTCTAAATTTCACTTGTCTCAGGCTAGCAGACCAGTGTCATTCTGTAACACTAATCACTGGCCTTTCCAAAGTTTCATTGATGTCAGTTTAATGCTTAATTTACTGTAATGCTGGCAAGTTGCAACAATATGCATTGGCATCCTCTCACCATTTTCACTGCATAAATGAATATATGACTTATTTTTAGTAACAAGGGACATGTCAATTCAGGCACACACTCCCTATTTACCATTCATGCAGGAAATCCATCACTTCACCCAGCACATTTAATACTTCATCAAATAATCATGAGCCTTAGCATGCCACACAGCATGCATATCATACACTGTTATCAGCTATTTTCGGAACGTCAGGTATTATCATCATTATTTGCAATCACCATTGCAACTGTTTTAATAAACAGTGAATAACCATGATTACAGCTGAACTACTTCACATTTCCAAATTAATGACATTGATAATACCTGATTTTGAGTTCTCTGATCTGCCATTCTTTGTGACGGTCAAAAGCTATCAGCACAGATGCTATCTCCTGAAAACAAATTGTCATTGTTAATGTCACAGAGTCCTCCCTTGACTACTATTTATTATGGGGAAAATACCTGGTTGAGGGTTCTCTCAACCTTGAACATTTAACTGTATTATCATGATTATGGTCATAATAAGGCCCACTTATTCCTCAACTCATGCTGAGTTCTGATTCAGATGACAAAAAAACAAACAATTTCAGACACAGTATGCATTGTAATATATCAGCCATTTCTGACAATATCATAGCAATGTTTTTTTCATGTTCTATCTTCAAAGCACCTGTTATATTCGAAAATTTGATACAACAGTATTCGTTCAAATTACATGACAAAATATACCAACACAGCAGTTAGTTGTAGACAGTGATACAATACTATGAGTGAGTGAGTGAGTTTAGTTTTACGCCACACTCAGCTATATTCCGGTGGTCTGTAAATAATCGAGTCTGGACCAGACAATCCAGGGATCAACAGCATGAGCATCGATCTGCGCAACTGGGAACCGATGACATATGTCAACCAAGTCAGCGAGCCTGACCACTCGATCCTGTTAGTCGCCTCTTACGACAAGCATGGGTTACTGAAGGCCAATATTCCAACCCAGACCTTCACGGATCACAATACTGTGAGGGTATCATGAGAATGATGATGAAAACTTAAGGTATGTTCACTCACACACCATATTCCAGCTATATGGCGGCGGTCTCTGTAAATAATCGAGTCTGGACCACACAATGCAGTGATCAACAGCAAGAGCATTGATCTGCGCAATTGGGAACCAATGACATGAGTCAACCAAGTCAGCGGTATCACTATTCTAACCCGGACCTTCACGGGTTCGTCAGTTAGAATAAACACTGACTTCATTGGCGTTCCACTACTGTTATTCCACAGTTAAAATAAGCACTGACCTCATTGGTGTTCCACTACTGTTATTCCACAGTTAAAATAGGCACTGACCTCATTGGTGTTCCAGTACTATATTTCCTCCATAAAGGTCATAGTATGACCTCAGTTCATACGACTGTACTACTCTTTTAATACAAGAAATAGAACTGACCTCAACAGTGTTGCACTACTATATTACCTCTATTAAAATTATCAAAATTAACACAAGCACTGACCTCATTGGTGTTCCAGCGAGGTCTGAGAGAAGGAAACTCTAAGGCCGGGGGGATATTCGTCAGCTGATGAGGCAGAGTTATCTTGGAGTTTTCTGTAAAAGAAAAACACTGTCAAATCTTTGTTTGCCATTAGAGGAAGAGAATGAGTTAAAATTAATTTCTGCTGCATACTAATCTCGTACTTCACTAAAGTGTCGTATCGTGTTGACCTGTGTTGTAACGACTTGACCTGAGATTCTAACGATTTGATTGGATAACCGATGACCTCTCAAATAGGTCACGTTGTGACGGAACTACTTTTTCATTCATAACAAACATATGAATTCATTCATTCTACAACTTATATGCATTGTGGGAATGTAAACATTGCGAACGTTGCCATATCGCTGTTTAATTGTGAGTAGAAATGAGACATATATGTGTCGAAAAACATAAACACAAAGTTTCCACCAGTGGTGATGTTAGCCGAGTGAAGCAACTGCAAACTAAGAAACAGGGTGCTACAGAGTAGTTTAATGTAGGAGGCTGTACGAGGCGATGACAACTGACATGCATCGTGACGTCAGTTACTAAGGGGACAGATGAGCATGGCGTAGTGACGTCATTACAGTGTGACGTCATGCAAAAAGTGTACTACAGAACAACATTCTTCCGCAACCTCTTTATGAAACTTATTTCGGTTTGAAACAATAAAAATAATAATAAAAATACGCTATTTTGTCAATTTAATGCATGTAAGACGTGAGTAATAAATAAAATACCACACTCGGTCCATAACATACGAATTATACGAATCTCGAAAGCAAGCTCAGAAACCATAGGAAGGTCACGTGTTTCGTATAATTCATATGTAATGAGACCTCGTGTAGTATTCTATGTACAGTCTAGTATGCCTAGGCTAGCAAAATACAATGTTCTGAAAGTGATCCCATATGTCATGTTCGGCACTCAGAAGTACTGTGGTACAGGCAGGCATAAGTGATCATGGTCATAACTGGCTATAAATCTTGAGGTCATCACAGAGCTCAATATGGTTGCTAAAGCAGCCTGTAAATCATCAGATCTGGACCTGAATGATCTGTAGGTGACCTCGACATTCGAGTGGAACATTCGAGAAAAGTTGCAGAGTGCAACAGTAACTGACAATTCATGAAAACTGCTCAGAATTCTTGTAAATTTTGCCAAAGTGCACATTTGAGTATATAGACATAATGTAGGAGAACATTAGCTAGAAAGCTTCTATAATGTTTAGCAACATCAGGAAACAGAAACATGGATCAACTCAGCCAAACACATTAACACAATTAAGCTGCATGTTTACAGAGACATTTCTGATGTTTTCTGCTCTACCTTCAAACAAACACCAGATCATCATTTCATGTATGATTAATCCCTACGAATCACAATGATTTCATCACAGACTGAACATTTGTTCCAGATACACAGACATGTTGTCATCAAACATACATTGTGTTACCCGTGAAGATCCGGGTTAGAATATTGATCTTCAGTAACCCATGCTTGTCGTAAGAGGCGACTAAAGGGATCGGGTGGTAAGGCTCGCTGACTTTGTTGGCACATGTCATCCGTTCCCAATTGCACAGATTGATGCTCATGCTGTTGATCACTTGATTGTCTGGTCCAGACTCGATTATTTACAGACCGCGGCCATATAGCTGGAATATTGCGGAGTGTGGCGTAAAACTAAACTCACTCACTCACTCAAACATACATTGTTCCTCACATCTGTCCTGATGGATAACTGAAAAGTCACTAAAACGACCTTTATGTCAAAATCAAATTCTTTGAAATAACTCCTTAAAGTGAGTGCGTTTGTTTTTATGACACTTTGCAATATTCCAGCAATGTCACAGCTTTGAAATACCAGAAATGGGCTTCACACATTGTACTAATGTGGGGAACCGAACCAGGGTCTTCGGCAGGATTAGAGAACGCTTCAACCACTTGGCTACCCCACTGCCTTAAAGACTTTCATAGCATTAATACCTTTGACAGTGTATGCATTCAACCATGACGTCACAACACAAATGTGTACGATTTACAAGATTACAAGGACATCCAGATAACAACAGATGACTTCAAGAATACCAGAATCACCTCCTTAATTTCAAACAATGCTTTTATTTTCCATTACTCCATTGTGTGAATTTATTATGATCACATGGTGAAATAAAACTACAAGTTCACAAAGTCAGTATTTTACATCACTGACAAACTTGATGTCAAACACCCCAAAGAATTATTGCAATTTTATATAGATAAAATATTTGCTACTGTTGATCAATGTCTAAAAAAGATAAGTTCAACAGAAACCAGACAGTATGCTTACAGCTATTAAAAGATAATGACACAGCACTATAGCTCACCTGGCCATGTATCAACAGCTTAGAATAATGATATATGCCTTTTACAAATGGGCATCAAGGACCTCATGTCCATACTAGTGGAAACAAGCATGTTAAGTTTCAGCTGCGCTGGCACAGTGGCTTTTGAGATGATGTTTACAATGCAAGGAAAATCCATTTTGTTTGTTTGCTGTTAAAAGTTGCAGTAGTGAGTGAGTTTACTTTTACGCCGCTTTTAGCAAATATACCAGCAAAATCACGGTTAAGGACACCAGAAATGGGCTTTACACATTGTACCCATTGAACCCGGGTCTTCGGCATGATAAGCAAACGCTTTAACCACTAGGCTACCCCACCACCCCAAAAGTTGCAGTAAGCAGTTATCTGATCATGATGATGGTGGTGGTGGTCTGTTAATATTCAAGTCTGAGCAACTGTCCAAGTCATCAGGACATAATGACAGGTTATCATCAGTCTGACAACCAGCTTAAGTCGGCCACCTCTCACAACCAACAAACACTGCTAAGTACAACACCTTAAACCAGAATCTCACAGTGTATATTCCAGAATGCAAAGGTAAAATTAAAGTCATAATTCAAAATATCACACAGAAGTCTAGACAAATACATGACAACAGCTGAGCCCCACAATGAACTACACAAACACTAAATTTCATTCTTCTAAATCTGAAACGTATGGGTAACGGCCGTAAGAAAGCGTAGTTCGATGCTCAAGGTGTCAATCACTGGAATGTGCTTGTCTGGATTCAAAACCCCAAAAGAAACATTTATGCTAAGCTCCACTGCTATTAACACAGTGACCACTTTTATTGCCATTTTGAACAAAACAGCTGTCATGGCTGAATTTTGTATAATCTCTTGAACAAGTTGGGGCGTCTTTATTGGTTGGTTTTGGACGAGAAGATGTGTATGACAAACTGAATGCTGGAAAATCAGGTCACTTGACTTTTAGTCATGTGATTTCGATGTTTGTCATGATGACTCAACAGCTTGGATGTATTTCTACTTTGAGATATCCATGAGAATGAAAAACTTCCAAAGAGAAAATGTAAGTCTGAAGTGAGCATCAATGGTCTGAGTATGCGAAAGCCTTCAATGATTTACACCGATAATCTAGCACATTGTCAAACACCTTTTGCCTCACAGCCAGAGCTAATCAACTATACATGTTTCCCTACAGCCAAGGCAACTGGCTGATTGCCAAGTTGTCAAGCTCTCAATAAAGTATCAAAATCCTGATTTAACTATTGGGTGCTCATCCGATACATGAGATTTTTTGTGTTGGGTACATGTTGTGTTTTCTATTGAACAGCCTCAATATTCACATAAGCTTCCAATACATTATTTAGCAGAGGTAACCACTCACCATGCTCACCTTCATCAATCCACTTTAAAAGATAACAAACAACTACAGGATGGGGTTTGGGTAGAATTATATTTGAATTATAACATAAGTGATGTTGCCTGGCAATCACTTGTTCAAAAAAATGTTTTACCTAAAATATTGAGGAAAATTTAATAATCCTTAGGTTGGCACGTACATTGGTTGGTAGTAGCATGATCTGTGTATCGGTTTGTGAAGAAGTCTATACATGATTCTACTAAAACTTTGTGGTTATAGTAAGCTCTGCTAAGAACAATTGATTTGATAACAATCTGAATGAACTGAAGGTTATGCTAAGGAGTGTCTAACAATTTTTCCACTGACTGCTAAATTTCATGACCATTCCCAAGACTAATGTGAATGACATAATATATCACAAATATGATACCTAGAATGGTACCTTGAATGAAAGACAAACAGCATTAAGACTTTTTCTTGATTTTATCACCTGCTGATATGACATTCTAATATATAACTACCAAAATAGACAAAATATGTCTTGGATAGGATGCAGTGATCGAAATAGTGATTAATTCGTTGTGCCATGGCACGGTAAATATTGAAAAGGCACTGATGAAATATTTTCACTGTGCCTTGGCTGCATGACTAAAATCATAAAAATAATATGATTATACTATAATTAATTAATGGAACCTGAGAGCTGGATTCCCTAAACATTATCATGACTGCAGATTCATTTGTCGTGGACCCATAAACATGATCAACTAACCCACAAACTATGTTATCATCCAAAATGTGATTTCCTGTTATTCGCACAGGTCTTCAGATTAGCCACACCCAGGTCAAGTTGTGAGATTGCGCGTTCCACTGATAAATTGATTGATGGGTTAAAAAAAAATATAGGTATAGAATCATTTGTGTTGGTCAAATGTATCACATTTTACATTAAACAAGCAGTTGTCACTAAGGTGACATAATCCCTCGCCGCAAATGATCTAATCAAAGGAATGAAAGTGAAGGTCATAGTTTAAGATGAAGTTAAATGAAGTTAAAACCTCTCTTGATATCTCCTTCTGTAGCTGTTCAAACACACAAATATTTTCAAGACTCACTTTGACCTTGACATGAATGTCATGGTGTATGAAATATGCAAAAAATAGTAATAAAGAAATTGCTTATCAAAAAACAGTGAATCCAGTGAACGGTTCTTGAGATAGCTTAACATGCAGGTTTACATGCTGAAATCTTCAAAGTGTCGCCATGACCTTGAAAATTAAGTGAAGGTCACCAAAATCGACTGGGCCCTGCGCCTTCCCAAGATGAAGCTTGGTGGCAAATATGCAGAAAATCCAGTAAACGGT